TTAATTCAGTGTGTCTGCAAAATCTGGGTATTTGTGATAGGTGTATAGTGACTTGCAATTAAAGAAAAATCTGCAGTCTTTAAAAAATATTTTAGGAGTGAACAAAAATGTAATACTTAAGTAGTGTTATCCTTTCAGTTAAGAGTATCTCTGTGAGAGTGGTCTGTATGAAAATACATCTGGCTGTTGGCCTGAGTGTGCCAACAGAGTTCTAGTGCTGGAATCCCCCTGACACACACACACACACACACACACACACACACACACACACACACACACACACCCTGCAACAGTGTTGGTAATTAGGTCATGCGCGTTCTGTGTGGACAGATCAGTGCACCTTTGTCAAGATGAGCAAGTAGTCCTCCGAGCGTGAGTTCCTAGTGAAGGGTTTAGCCCTTTCCTGTTCTTCTACCTTCTGCTGCCTGCCATGGGGTACGGCAGCAAGAACACCAGATGCAGCCCTCCACCTTGGCCTAGCCTCCAGATCTGAGCCTAATACATTTCTGTTATCACTTAGTCTCAGCTGTTCTGGTACAGCAGCAGCATACAAACTGTGAAATACCCCAGTCCTTGAGTCAGTGGGGTATGCTGTTAAGACTTGGGTGTATGGTGTGACGCTCAGCTTGTGATCCCTGATCCTATTTGACCTCAGAATGTTGACAGTACAGAAGCTCTGCCGCCCTTGACACCAGACTTCCATTTCGTCTGTGAGGAATATCTGAGACCAGGCTCTCGTTTTGTGTTATTTGGGTGGTAAAATACGCGTATGACTTTGCCTTTAGCCATGTTGAGTGAGCTCAGTGTATCACACCTGCACAACCATGGCTGCTGTCTGTCTGTCTGTCTCCAAAACAAGGCTCCTGCTTGCTTTAGACTCGCTTCTGGTGAAGGTAGACCTCAGACATGGTGAGGTTCATTTGAATACTGCACATAGCACTTCCTTCCATAAGAGGATGTTTCTGAGCCATGTGGTGGTGCCGTACACCTTTAATCCCAGCACTCAGGAGGCAGAGGCAGGCGGATCTCTGTGAGTTCGAGGCCAGTCTGGTCTACAGAGCGAGATCCAGGACAGCCAAGGACTGTTACACAGAAAAACCCTGTCTCAAAGGAGGAAAAAAAAAGAGGATGTTTCTGAATTTAAAACCAGGGTATGTTTTGGTTGGGTGACAAAGTCTTGCTGTGTAGCCTGGGTTAGCCTCCAATAGCAATCCTGCTACCTCTGCCTCCTGAGTGCTGGGATTAGGGGCAAATGTCACTGCCCTAACCTTGGAATCAGGCTTCTTGTATTAAGTGAAGGCAGCTTTATGCTTGGAAGTCAGGTTCTTTGTCTAAAAGGGAAGGGTATGGCCCACATGAGTTCCACTTGCCCAGAGCATGGTGGCATTAGCGTGTGCTGCTGTGACAGTCCTGGGAGACCTCGTGACACCTTAGCTCTCCTTGTCACACAAGCCCTGGCTGCTTTCTGTGCTGTGGCGATGTTGAGATTGCAAATCCTGCCTCTGAGGCACCAGTTAGATTTTCCATGGGTTGCAGAGATGAGCACGGCCCAGCCTCCTCTCTTTAGACCTGTAGTCCCTTGGAGCAGCAGCAGGAGGGCCCAGCCTTCCAGGCACCTAGGCCACAGGTAGGTGTAGTCCAACTCTGCCATGTCTTAGTCCAGACCTCAGATGTGGCACTTTACCTGCTCATCTGTAATTCCAGTACCAGGTGAGTCACAGGTCTGTTTGGGTGGGGTTGTGAAGTAGGGACACACTTAGCAAGTGCCGGTAGGGTGAGGATGGGAAATGTGCCATATCCTCTTGTGGGACTCGAATGTGTGACAGGTGCTCCAGAGGGACGTCTCAGTGCATCCACAGGTACCCCAAGGGAGGTGGAGATTAGCAGGTAGTGAGGAGGACGGGGACCAGTGTGGAGGCAGATGGGTCTCCTTAGGATGGGACAGGGAAAGGGAAAACCAGGACAGGGTGTCCAGAGCCCTTTTCACGGGCCGCAGGAGAGGGCGGGTTCTAAGCCCAGGAAGACCACAGGCTGTGGGAGATGGCTGAACAAGGGAGTCCCCCAGAGTGGGTGGCAGTTAGCTGTGGCGGCCCTAAGAGGCCCCGGGTGTGGAGGCATGGAAAGAGGTTACTTTCCTCAAGAGCCAGAGGCTGGCAGGCAGCTAGGCAGAAGTGTGGAGAGCAGGGGAGGTCTGTGAAACCAGTGTTCATAGGCAGGTGCGAACAGCAGGAAAAGTGAAGGCACATGCTGCCCAGTGAAGAGCTGCGGGAGGAAACAGGCTCTCCTGCTGTAGTCGGGAAGAGGGGCCTCGCCCTTCAGTGCTGCTGGGTGAGATGCATGGGCCCTGCCCTCACAGAGGTGGGAGTGGGCGGGGTAACTGAGAAAGGCCTTAATTGTGGAGTTAATTACCTTTTATGAGGAGTCTGTGCCTGGAGCCAAAAGACTTCAGTTTCCGTCCTGGCTAAGGCACTGTTTGTGATCTTGCACAAATTATGTATGTGTCTCCTAGTGCTTCAGTATGCACATCTGTGGATACACGAAACAACACGTGCACTAGTACCCTGTCACACCGCTCTGAGGACTCGGAGTTGACACAGAAGGGCTCGGGCTCCGGCTGTGGGCAAGGTGATGCTGTGAGATGCTAGCCGAGGATGACCAGGAAAGCCACATAGTCCCTGTTCTGTTGAGATGGCTAAGTAACTTCCTCCAGGTGACTTGAAGTACTGACTTCTTGGGATCCGGAGCTCCCGGCCACCCTCCTTCCTTCCCCACTCCTTTCCAGGGGGCAGGAACACTCGGCTTTGAAGTCAAGGACAGCAGAGACAGGCTGGCCATTTTGACTGGCCTGGTGACTGGGCTTCTGTTGCGGAGGGCCGTGGATTTGGAGTGGATGCTTGTTGATCTGGGATCAGTTAACTGTCACCTTGCTTTCTTTGTCTCGTCCTTTGTTGTGGGGAATGCCATCTGATCACATTGTTGGCATGTTCTACTCAGAACCGGCTTTGGTGACAGCCCTGCTGAATCAGTTTTTGTTAGGCCTTGCTTAACTAAACTCCAACGAGCCTCCGGAATTTTCCTTTGAATTCTGTTGTGAGACTGACTTGGCAGCTAGTAGAGTTCTGAGGAAGGAGAGAAGGCTCCCTTGTGTTTAAATTGTACTGTCAGCTCGTCCCCCCACCTCCATAGTCAGCTCTTGCCTTTTTAAACTTGAGTTACATTGGTAACCACCTGTCAGCTGGAAGGCCAGAGCTGAGGTTCTCTGCTGGAGCTGCTGGGTTTGGTTTAAAATCTTGACACTTCCTCATTTGGATGCTCTCCCTCCCCCACCCCCACCCCCCACCCCCGCTGTGTCCTGAACAGTGAGTTCAGCGAGGGGGTGGTGCCAGACTCAGGCAGCCTGGGGAAGGAGCTCTTGAGCCACAGAGTTAGACTCTGTCCCTTGTCTCAAAAGGACGGGCGTGTGGGTTGGGACATCTGTGTTTTTGCTTTGCCATTTTGAACCCAGCGCCTTCCACATGTTGAACAAACACTCCACCCCTGAGCTCCATCCCTCTCTGTGAAGGCAGGGGCTCCAGGTGGCCCAGATTGGCTTCAAACTCTGCTTCTCCTACTTCCTGTTTCCTCCTCTCTGTGGTAGATGAGGTTCTGGGCATACACCACTACGTCCAGCAAACTGTAATTTTTAATTTGCTATCTAAAGGATGAATTCAGAAGCAGATTATACTGACTGGGTCCCTTGACAATTGTGTACCCTGGTCTGGTTGATGGGATTGTTCCACTTCCTTCCCCCTACCCCCATATTTTATGTTCTGGGGTAGGAAGCTGAGGAACACTGACTTAGCTCCCTGCATGTGCGTGGATTGGTCCTGGCGCTTCTGTCCAGTGTGTTTAAGGCTTTCCACCAGGGCTCTGGGATCCAGCTTGCTCCTTGGTTCCGTGTTTTCCCTGTGGGATGGTTACGAGCCCGTGTCCCTGGCCTGCTGGTCATCTCTGCTGAGTCAGCTGTAATGCAGAGTATGGGCTTACTTTGGCCAGCATGCGTGGACAGGGCAGTGACTCACGGGAACCCTTCCTTCGTCTCAAGTTCTAGGCAGCCTTATGACTGTCACATGGGGAATATGAGTGGCTCTTGACACATCTTTCCATAGGAAGTTTTCACAAGTTAGTGTTGCCTAGGTGATAGTCCTTAAAGTCGGCACGTGCAGTCCTTGGCATTCTTCTTAACCCTCAAGGACAATGTCCATTCTTTCACCCACTTTTAGGTAAGATTAGTGATGTTTATGGTTTTGTTCTATGGGTTACTTTTGAATTACCAATATTAGCCAACCTCAGTATATGTGGAAATGTTCTTTGGTTGTTTATCTAATTTTTTGTGCAAATGCCCCAAAACCGGTACCTTGTAATCACTAACTTGCTGAGTGCTATGTTGCTTCTACTTGTACTGTGAGTCTTTCTGGAACTAGAGCCCTCTCCCGAGCCCTCGGGAGGTCTGCATCTTGTAGATAATCTCCATACCTGCGTTACTGACTTGACAAAGCCAGTTGGGGTATTAGGTCTGGTTGCTTTTTTAAGAGATATTGTTATTTAGTGTGTGCGCACACACACTAGGAGACCAGAAGTAGAGGAGCTGGATTACAGGTGGATCCTCTGGAAGAGAAGGAAGCACTCTTAACCACTGAGCCGTCTCTCCAGCCCCATGGCCTGGGTGTTTTGTTTTGTTGGTTTCTAGGACAGAGTTGGCTGGGTAGTTAGCTGGTCTTTAGTGTGCAACTCAGACTGGCCTTGAACTCATAATTTTTCTATCTGGGCCTCACAAGTGCTGGGATTGTTGGTTTAAGACCCCCCACCCTCCATGCCTGCCATGTTCTATCTTTGTTAATATTTCTTGGCATGTTTAACAAGAACCTTTGTTGCTCCTTCAATTTTTTAGGTATCGTTGGAAGGTTCGCTGGCTGAGCTTTTCTTGCTAAAATCTGGTTGTCCATGTTGACTCTCTGTAGGTGTTTTCACAATCCTGTGTTTGGTATGGAGAGTGTGGAACTACGCTTGGAGATAAGAGGTACAACTGTAAATATTCTGGTCCACCAAAACCCTTACCGAAGGACGGATATGACTTGGTGCAGGTAAGTGTGCTGTTTTGAGAGCACCAGGCAACAAGCATGGGCAGTAGCTTGTGGAATGGTGCTGGGAGTGCTGGAGGCAAGACTAAGAGGCTTAAATCGTGTGTGTGTGTGTGTGTGTGTGTGTGTGTGTGTGTGTGTGTGTGTGTGTGTGTGTGTGTGTGTTAGAAGAGGGTCTTGGATCCCCTGGGACTGGAGTTCACAGGCAGTTATGAACTGCCACATAGGTGCTGGGAAACTGAACTGAGTTCTCCACAGGATCAGTAATCACTCTTAACTGCTCCAGCCCTGAGGCTTAAATCTTATCCTAGACTGCAGCCCGTACCCCACAACTGACCGATAAACCGGCTCCAGGCTTAATCTTCCAGGTGCTGACTTTGTAAGTCTCCTGGAGTTTCCCAATAGCGAGTTACTGTTTAGAGCTGACCTTGGTACCCCAGATACTACTCTTTAGGACTTCTGCAAAATGTATTAGAAGTTAGCTTTTTTGTTTGTTTGTTTGGTTGGTTCCTAGATTTCAAGACTTAGACTGCCACTAAGAGGCTGGGAATTCTCTTCCCCTGTTTTAGGGATTTCTCTGTTGCCCTGCAAGCCGTGAATTCTGGCTGCCCCCCAGGACTCTGCTTTTCATTAGCATGATTCTTAGGGCTGTTGGGAAAAAATACTGGGCAATGTCAAGCAAAAAAGACTGGCCTTGGAGGCTTGACCGCTCCAGCGTGGCACTTCATCTTCTAAACACCTGGGTTCCTTTCTCAGAGTTAGTGCAGGTTTTGACTGTCCCTGGAGTCACGGTGAGTGGACGGAGTACAGTGGCTGAACTTGAATAGGCTAACTTGTGAGTCAAAGCAGTAAAGGAAAGGAAAAATAAATAGGATTGTCTCTACAGCTTCCTGTGACCCCACTTTCTGGGCCTTTAAGAGGGTTCTGCGAGAACCGCGTGAGCAGCAAGAGTGACAGCACATTGCGTGTACTGACGATCCTCCGATCCTCTCCCCTCACAGGAGCTCTGTCCGGGGTTCTTCTTCGGCGACGTCAGTCTCTGCTGTGACGTTCAACAGCTTCAGACGCTAAAGAACAACCTGCAGCTGCCCCTGCAGTTTCTGTCCAGGTAGGCTGACCACCGGCAAATGGAGCCGAGGGGCTCCACACGCAGTGACACTCTGGTGTGCTTTGGAGACTCCGGGAAGGCACTCGGGGCCTGTTGGAAGGGAAAGGTCACACGGCACACTCAGTTCTCCTCCTAGTTGCATTCAGAGTTAAGACTTGGTTTCCTTTGAGGTGTCCTGGCCCCCAAGGGAACTGCACGGGGCCTATGGCCTTTTAGAGTGGTCGCTGGTGTCCTGCTCAGGACCCTGGTCCTCATCTGTGTGGTTCCCAGGTTGTTCCCCACCCATTGCTGCCCTGCTTTGCCTGTCATTCTTTTCCAAGCTTTTATTGCAGTTATTTATTTATTGTGTGTACATGTGCACCCCGTGTGCACAATGTGTGTACACATGGTGCCCACGCACATGGAAGCCCGAGGACAGCTTGTCGGGATTGGTTCTCTCCTTCCATCCTGTGGGTCCTGAGGATCAGACTCAGGTCATCCAGCTTGCCCGCATCCCATGGCCCTTGCCTGTCATCCTTCCTGTCTCTGCTGAAACACTGTGCTAGCATTAGCTCCCGGGTCAGCCCGGGCTTGTGTTGATGTCGAGCTTGTTCTAGTGTTCGGCAGTGCAGAAAGACGGTGTAGTGGATGTTCTGTAGCCTACCGAGCAGTGCAGAAAGACGGTGTGGTGGATGTTCTGTAGCCTACCGAGCAGTGCAGAAAGACGGTGTGGTGGATGTTCTGTAGCCTACCTAGCAGTGCAGAAAGACGGTGTGGTGGATGTTCTGTAGCCTACCGAGCAGTGCAGAAAGACGGTGTGGTGGATGTTCTGTAGCCTACCGAGCAGTGCAGAAAGACGGTGTGGTGGATGTTCTGTAGCCTACCGAGCAGTGCAGAAAGACGGTGTAGTGGATGTTCTGTAGCCTACCGAGCAGTGCAGAAAGACGGTGTAGTGGATGTTCTGTAGCCTACCTAGCAGTGCAGAAAGACGGTGTAGTGGATGTTCTGTAGCTTACCTAGCAGTGCAGAAAGACGGTGTAGTGGATGTTCTGTAGCCTACCGAGCAGTGCAGAAAGACGGTGTAGTGGATGTTCTGTAGCCTACCGAGCAGTGCAGAAAGACGGTGTAGTGGATGTTCTGTAGCCTACCTAGCAGTGCAGAAAGACGGTGTGGTGGATGTTCTGTAGCCTACCGAGCAGTGCAGAAAGACGGTGTAGTGGATGTTCTGTAGCCTACCTAGCAGTGCAGAAAGACGGTGTGGTGGATGTTCTGTAGCCTACCTAGCAGTGCAGAAAGACGGTGTAGTGGATGTTCTGTAGCCTACCTAGCAGTGCAGAAAGACGGTGTGGTGGATGTTCTGTAGCCTACCGAGCAGTGCAGAAAGACGGTGTAGTGGATGTTCTGTAGCCTACCTAGCAGTGCAGAAAGACGGTGTGGTGGATGTTCTGTAGCCTACCGAGCAGTGCAGAAAGACGGTGTAGTGGATGTTCTGTAGCCTACCTAGCAGTGCAGAAAGACGGTGTGGTGGATGTTCTGTAGCCTACCGAGCAGTGCAGAAAGACGGTGTAGTGGATGTTCTGTAGCCTACCGAGCAGTGCAGAAAGACGGTGTGGTGGATGTTCTGTAGCCTAACTAGCAGTGCAGAAAGACGGTGTGGTGGATGTTCTGTAGCCTACCGAGCAGTGCAGAAAGACGGTGTAGTGGATGTTCTGTAGCCTACCGAGCAGTGCAGAAAGACGGTGTGGTGGATGTTCTGTAGCCTAACTAGCAGTGCAGAAAGACGGTGTGGTGGATGTTCTGTAGCCTACCGAGCAGTGCAGAAAGACGGTGTAGTGGATGTTCTGTAGCCTACCGAGCAGTGCAGAAAGACGGTGTAGTGGATGTTCTGTAGCCTACCGAGCAGTGCAGAAAGACGGTGTAGTGGATGTTCTGTAGCTTACCTAGCAGTGCAGAAAGACGGTGTGGTGGATGTTCTGTAGCCTACCGAGCAGTGCAGAAAGACGGTGTAGTGGATGTTCTGTAGCCTACCTAGCAGTGCAGAAAGACGGTGTGGTGGATGTTCTGTAGCCTACCGAGCAGTGCAGAAAGACGGTGTGGTGGATGTTCTATAGCCTACCGAGCAGTGCAGAAAGACGGTGTAGTGGATGTTCTGTAGCCTACCGAGCAGTGCAGAAAGACGGTGTAGTGGATGTTCTGTAGCCTACCTAGCAGTGCAGAAAGACGGTGTAGTGGATGTTCTGTAGCCTACCTAGCAGTGCAGAAAGACGGTGTAGTGGATGTTCTGTAGCCTACCGAGCAGTGCAGAAAGACGGTGTAGTGGATGTTCTGTAGCCTACCGAGCAGTGCAGAAAGACGGTGTGGTGGATGTTCTGTAGCCTACCGAGCAGTGCAGAAAGACGGTGTAGTGGATGTTCTGTAGCCTACCTAGCAGTGCAGAAAGACGGTGTGGTGGATGTTCTGTAGCCTACCGAGCAGTGCAGAAAGACGGTGTAGTAGATGTTCTGTAGCCTACCGAGCAGTGCAGAAAGACGGTGTAGTGGATGTTCTGTAGCCTACCTAGCAGTGCAGAAAGACGGTGTGGTGGATGTTCTGTAGCCTACCGAGCAGTGCAGAAAGACGGTGTAGTAGATGTTCTGTAGCCTACCGAGCAGTGCAGAAAAACGGTGTAGTGGATGTTCTGTAGCCTACCTAGCAGTGCAGAAAGACGGTGTAGTGGATGTTCTGTAGCCTACCTAGCAGTGCAGAAAGACGGTGTAGTGGATGTTCTGTAGCCTACCTAGCAGTGCAGAAAGACGATGTAGTGGATGTTCTGTAGCCTACCGAGCAGTGCAGAAAGACGTTGTAGTGGATGTTCTGTAGCCTACCTAGCAGTGCAGAAAGACGGTGTAGTGGATGTTCTGTAGCCTACCTAGCAGTGCAGAAAGACGGTGTAGTGGATGTTCTGTAGCCTACCTAGCAGTGCAGAAAGACGGTGTAGTGGATGTTCTGTAGCCTACCTAGCAGTGCAGAAAGACGGTGTAGTGGATGTTCCTGTAGCCTACCTAGCAGTGCAGAAAGACGGTGTAGTGGATGTTCCTGTAGCCTACCTAGCAGTGCAGAAAGACGGTGTAGTGGATGTTCTGTAGCCTACCGAGCAGTGCAGAAAGACGGTGTAGTGGATGTTCCTGTAGCCTACCTATCAGTTTTCAAATGTGCCGAAGAACATGTTGGTGTTCTTTAGAGCAGCAGATGCTGGTGCCTGTAAATTATGCAGACTTTAGCACACGGGTAGAGGTGGATGAGGGGATAATGAGGGGAAGATGATCTCTGCAGAGACCACTGTAGGCGGCAGGACCCTACCCTGCTTCTTAGAAGTGGGCAGTACAGAGTGGGAAACCATTGCTGCGCTGTCCTCCCCAGATATCACAGAATGTAATAGTAGGTCAGAAGTGTGCTCAGGCCACTCTAGACTTCTGACATTGATGGAGCCAGATCAAAGTCTTTGTTGCTTCATCCAAGCACACTTATTTAGTGGCCACTCTAAGTGATGGCTTATGATGTAAGCATCTACTAGAGTTAGGCCGCCCATGTTATCAGAGGGTCAAACTGGAATTATACCAATAAGAGAAACATACTAATCTGAGTTTTATGCAGCTGTTGAAATCGATGATTGTAGAGATTAAATGAAGGAGATTTGTAATTCAGCGGAGAGCAGTGCACCCTAGGAACGATTCTTGTCAGAGAGGTGCAGCTGTAGCCTGTGATTTTGTCACTGTATTCTGGGACTTGAGCTACAGCCATTAAAAAAAACTCTTTCAAGTTTTTGTTTTACAACCCTTCTAATTGGGGGCTGGAGAGACAGCTCAGAAGTTAAGAGCACACCCTGCTCCTTCAGAGGACCCTAGCTGACAGCCACGCTCTGAGAAAGAGCCACTGCACCTCTGGGCCTCTTCAGGTCAGAGGCCCCTGAAGACGCATGCCCTCCTCGGTCATACCTGACGAGTGGGGCTGGATTAGACTAGATGATAACCTCAGCCGCTCCTGTTTCTAGAACTCCATGGAACAGTGAGGTAACTGTGGACCAAAGGGGAGAGAGAACCCTTTTGCCACAGAGTCAGCATTAGGAGCTTAAACTCCGAACCCGAAGGACAGCCGTCCGCCGTGGTCTTCGTAGAAACCCGAGTGTCACTGCGGCGGGCACAGCAGGCACTGCCATGATGCTTCTCTGTTTTCACCTTCCCGATGCCAGGCTTGGACCCAGGCCGTACAGGGGGATGGCTCTGTAATCTTCAGAACTCAGGGGGTCCTCCTGTGTTAGGAGAGGCTAGGGTGGTCTGACGCCCAGAAGAAAGACTTTCAGTAAAGTGAAGAAATATATGAATCCTATAGTGGTCCTTCTCACACACACACACACACACACACACACACACACACACACACACACCTATCTACCCCTTAATCTCTTCATCAGAAATATGACATCTTTGGAATAAGGATAGACATCTCTAAATTACAAAGCACAGAATTCAGAAAAGCTTTTTTTTTTTCCTTTTGAAATTACTTCTGAATAAACTATATGTAATAGGAGGGCAATTTTAAAAGCTATTTCTTTGTTACTATAAGGTTCTAAGAATTTGTGAGTGTAGGGCAGGAGAGATGGTTCAGTGGTTAAGAGCACTGGCTGCTCTTCCAGAGGACCTGGGTTCAATTCCCAGCAACCACATGGCAATTCACAACTGTCTGTGACTCCAGTTCCAGGGGATCTGAAATCCTCACACAGACACGCATATAGGCAAAACACCAATGCACATAAAATAAAAATTAATTAAAAAAAAAAAAAGAATTGCCGAGCAGTGGTGGCACGCGCCTTTAATCCCAGCACTCGAGAGGCAGAGGCAGGCGGATCTCTGTGAGTTTGAGGCCAGCCTGGTCTACAAAGTGAGATCCAGGACAGGCACCAAAGCTACACAGAGAAACCCTGTCTCGGGGAAAAAAAATTCCTGAGTCTATTATCTTTTCATGGTAACTTATTTGTCTCTTTTCAATAAGTTTTTAAGTATTCTTTAAATATTGCACCTTTTATTTTTGCTGGTCCATCTGAAGTCGTAAAACGTAACTTACTTTTCCTTTAGATGTCCATCATGTTTTTATAACCTGATGACCCTGTTTTGTGAGCTGACATGTAGTCCTCACCAGAGTCAGTTTCTGAATGTGACGGCCACTGAAGACTATGTTGATCCTAAGACACAGGAGAATAAAACAAACGTAAAGGAATTGGAGTACTATATCGGACAGAGCTTTTCGAATGGTAAGTAAAAATACTTGTTACTCCTTTTAAAAAGCTGGTGTCAGGGCACGGGGTTGGGATGTGCACATCTGTTGTGACCCTGGCAAGTGTGTGCAAAGTTACAGTTTTCGTGCCTTGGTCAGTTTGCTGTATTCTGGGACTTCAGCTACAACTGCTAAAACAATCTCTTTAAATTACTTGTTTTAAAATTCTTCTGATGTGGGGGCTGGAGAGATGGCTCAGCAGTTAAGAGTATATAGTCCTCTTCCAGAGGACCTGGTTCAATTCCCAGCACCCAGTATAGTGGCTCACAACCCCCGTAACCCAGGCCCAAGGGATCCAGGGTCCTCTTGGCTGAGGCCCTCTTCTGTCCTTGGCAGGCACCAGGCGCACGTGTGATACACGTACATGCACGCAGGAAAAGAAAAATAAAATCTCAAAGAAGTAACAAGTGTTTTTTAATCTTTGTTTGAAGTTACCGTGTTACAATTTGAGTGTACTTGTGGACATTTTAGTGACTGTCCCACATTGACCAGCCAGACCTGACTGTTTTAACCTCGAGAGACAGAGTAGAGACAAAAACAGGAGGCAGCAGAGAAGGGTTTTGATTCCGAGGAAGCCAGTCACCAAAAGGAAAGTAAGCGGTTACAATGAGGAGCACCCCATGTGACATGAGGAGCACCCCATGTGACATGAGGAGCACCCCATGTGACTTGAGGAGCACCCCATGTGACTTGAGGAGCACCCCATGTGACTTGAGGAGCACCCCATGTGACATGAGGAGCACCCCATATGTCTTGAGGAGCACCCCGTATGTCTTGAGGAGCACCGCATATGACATGAGGAGCACCCCATATGACTTGAGGAGCACCCCATATGACATGAGGAGCGACACCCAGCAGCCACTGGAGATCATAGAGAAAGGGATCCATCTACTTACTAGAAGTTACTGAAATGAAAGAATTCTTGAAAGAATAAAATGCTTCTGAAAAGGAATGAACAAATGACAAATAGAAGGAATTAGATCTTAAGACAGAGTAGTCATTGAAATGGGCTTAAAAATAGCAAAGTAGCCCTAGCTGAAGAGGAGGTGTCTAAGATCAGTCTAAAAAGCAATCAGATCTGCCTGCACCGTTCCCGGGCGTACACTCGAAGGACTCCGTACCCCCCAGAGGTGCTCGCACATCTGTGTTCATTGCTGCCTTCTTCTCACGAGCCTTGATGCCCATCAACAGAGAGTAAAGAAAACAGGATGCATGCACACATGGAGTTTGGTTCTGCTGTAAAGAAAAATGAAATGTGCAGGAAATGGGTGGATCTGGGGAACAGAATATTAAGCCAAGTGACCTAAACCTAGAAAGATGACAACGGCCTGGCCTGTCACCTGTGCAGACCCTGGTTGTAACAGCAGCTGTGTGTGTGTAAATGAGCACACGTGTGTGGTACAGACTTAGACTGGACTGGAACCAAGGGAGGCTGACAGGAGCTGGCGAAGAAGGCCTGGGGAAGGACACATTGACGTGAAGGACACATTGACATGAAGGCAGAAGAGCAGCTGAGGGGTGATAAGCGAGAGGGGAATGTCCTGAAGCATCCGCTGTGTGAGAATGTCTTAACGATACGCAGTGCTCTGTCTGTGAACTTGATAATAATGTTTAATGTACTAGGATCGGTAAGATCAGCCAAGCTGTGGTTAACTATAATGACCAATTTAAAAAGTAACCCAGCTAGGTGTGGTTATACACACTTTTACTGTTAGCACCTGCAGGGCTGAGGCACGGTCATGAGATGGAGCCAACCTGGACTACATACACTGGGTCTCAAAACACCGAAAAACAAACGGAAGTTTAAATTGCTTAGTTGGGAAAGGTCCCATTTGCAGACGTGACAAAAATGACAAAAGCTTCCCAAGGACGTGACGTGATAGCCCAGCTGGGCGTGTTCAGCCGGAAACAGAACTGTATGTGGAGAATACGTATCAGCTGTATCATTAGGAATCGTTAAGAGAAGGGAGGGGCTGTTGATAAATGGGTCAGTAAAACTGATATGCTCATCTGTATTTTAGTATGTGCGAGAAGTTGTGTAGATTAAAAGTACTTATCTTGGAAATCTCTACAAATAAACATAGGACTTTTTTTTATGACTTTAAGGTAAGAAAATGTTTCTAGACAAGAGAATAAAGGCAAAAGCCAGAAGTGGTTAGTGTCCAGAACAATCCATGAAATAGAGAAACAAGGCTTCACTCTTCATGTCTTATCAGATTGGCACAAATCAGTTTGTCTGTTCCTGTTGTTCGTGAGGGCATGAAGCAATAGGGTGTCAATAGACTGCCCCTTGCTGCTGCTGCTGCTGCACATGTTTGAAACCATTGAAGACAGTTTCACAATACCCAGGGAAGCTGAAGATAAGCACCCCTTTACCTCAGAGATTCTGTGTGACACAGCCCTCCCCACAGAAACCGTGAGCATGTGTGAGCAGGAGACCCTACAGAAACCGTGAACACATGTAAACAAGGAGACCCCACAGAAACTGTGAACACACGTAACAGGGAGACCCCACAGAAACCGTGAACACGTGTAAACAAGAAGACCCCACAGAAACTGTGAACACACGTAACAGGGAGACCCCACAGAAACCGTGAACACGTGTAAACAAGGAGACCCCACAGAAACCGTGAACACACGTAACAGGGAGACCCTACAAAAACCGTGTGTGTGTGTGTGTGTGTGTGTGTGTGCGCATGCGTGCAGAGACACCCCCCACACACACACACAGAAACCATGAATATGTGTAAGCAGGTAGACTCTCCCTACAGAAACTGAAAATGCCTATGAACAGGAAGCCCCAGAAAAGAACGTCACTGATGTAAAAAGTGGAGACATCTAGAGAACGGAAGACAAGGCTAGATGGGGAGAAAATGGTTACAAAAGACAGATCTGGTTAAGAACCGCTCGCTACCTAGGGCATCCAAAGAACTGTTAAAAGACTTTACGAGGGCCTGGAGAGACGGCTCAGAGGTTAGAGCACTGCCTGCTCTTCCAGAGGTCCTGAGTTCAATTCCCAGTAACTACACGCTGGCTCACAACCATCTGTAATGAGATCTGGTGCCCTCTTCTGGCCTGCAGGCAAACATGCAGACAGAACACTACATAAGAAATAAAATGTTAAAAAACCAAAAACCTCTTTACAAAAGTAAACAATGTGGATTAAAAAACGGCCAAAAAAATCTAAACAGATACTTCACCAAAGACTGTAAAAAATGTGTGAAAAGATGCATAAGGGCTTGTTACCAGAAGAGAGTTTGGCGGTTTGTGAGACTGAATTTGTTTACTGGGGGGTTTTGTAGTGGGGGTTGCGGGTTTTGTTTGTTTTTGAGACAGTCTGTCACAGAGGTTGAAGGTTGGCCTTGAACTCTTGGTCCTCAGAGGCACGCGCAACAAGCTTGGCTCCAAGCTGTTTTGTGGTGTGTTTGTTGTTTGTTTGTTTGTTTGTTTTTAAAGCTATACCCTAGGCCTAGCTTTTCAGTTTGTGTTGTTTTAAAAAGGACACAGAATAATGGGTTACATTGTGTCATTTTCTTTTCCTTACATATATAGCATTATGACCCCCCACCATAAAATGATTTCATTGCTACTTCATAATTGTAATTTTGATACCGTTATGAATTGTAGTGTAAATATCTGATATATGACCCCCAAAAGGCATCTCAGTCTACAGGTTGAGAACCACTGCTATAGAGGCTGAGGCAGGAGGATTGAGAGCTCCAAACAAAACTCACCAGTCCTCACACACAGTTGGAAGTTTTCTTTCCTGTCAGGATAGAGCTTGAATGGAATAGAGTCCAGCTTTCTATGGTTGTCACCTCTCACACTGCCTAGCCAGTCTTCATAGGGTCTCCTCGGAGTTTAGGGGAAGATGATCCCAGAAAGTTTGTACCAAGGAGGGACCCATAAATTATAACTAAGTTCATTTGCATGTGATCTCTTCCCAAAAGTGTTTTCCCGTTAAGTCCTCAGTCCTCTAGCTGTGCAGTCTCCTGCTGCAGAAGTTTCCAGAGTGAGCATCATTGACCAAAGAGATGCTAAGGTTTCCCCTCCTGACCCTTAGGGAGACCCTCTCTGTAATGTGAGTGGGGCTCTGTCTCCTGACCTTAGGGAGCCCCTCTTTATAGTGTGAGTGGGGCTCTGTCTCCTGACCTTAGGGAGCCTCTCTTTATAGTGTGAGTGGGGCTCTGTCTCCTGACCTTAGGGAGCCCCTCTTTATAGTGTGAGTGGGGCTCTGTCTCCTGACCTTAGGGAGCCCCTCTTTATAGTGTGAGTGGGGCTCTGTCTCCTGACCTTAGGGAGCCCCTCTTTATAGTGTGAGTGGGGCTCTGTCTCCTGACCTTAGGGAGCCCCTCTTTATAGTGTGAGTGGGGCTCTGTCTCCTGACCTTAGGGAGCCCCTCTTTATAGTGTGAGTGGGGCTCTGTCTCCTGACCTTAGGGAGCCCCTCTTTATAGTGTGAGTGGGGCTCTGTCTCCTGACCTTAGGGAGCCCCTCTCTGTAATGTGAGTGGGGCTTCTCGAAGCTGCTGGGGGAACAGCTAGAATCTTTCCTCTTGGTCACTCTCTTCACTTAGAGTCAGGCCTGCGGTGCCGTCTGGTTTACTGGGTCAGTTTGGAGACAGTCTCCTTCCCTGCTGTCTTGTAGTGTCCCAGGTTCTCACCACTGGCTGCGGTGTGTGGTCACAGTGCATCTGAAGGCTGTGCTCCTGTTCCACAGGCCTTCAGTTAGATCTTGAGTGGAGAATGAAAGCAAACACAATGTCTCCTCTTTTCCCTTGGAATTCCTCTTCTAGCCATGTACAACGCCTGCCGTGACGTGGAGGCCCCTTCAAGTAATGAGAAGGCCCTGGGCCTCCTGTGTGGGAGGGACGCCAGTGCCTGCAACGCCACCAACTGGATTGAGTACATGTTCAACAAAGACAACGGGCAGGCGCCGTTCACCATCACACCCATTTTTACAGGTAGGATGGCAGCTCTCTGGCCCAATGTAGTTAGAATTTTGCTTTAAAACCCAGGAATCAATCAGCTACAGAAAGACAAATTCAGAGAGGTAAGAAGGACATTCGTCCTGCGTGGTTAACTTAGGGCTGGGTGAGAAAAGGAATTGCTTTTAGGGATTGGTAATGTAACTGAAAGACTGAACCGGCGTGCATGCGTGCGTGCGTGCGTGCGTGCGTGCGTGCGTGTGTGTGTGTGTGTGTTTTCTGAAGGCTGAGAAGTGTCTGCTCAGAGTGGAAGCCAGACACACCGAGGACCCACCTTATGTGATTGGTGCACTGGAAGATCAGGGCACACGCTGTGGCAGGGTTGCTGATGTCACAGCGTATTCTAAGGGACATAGCTTAGCTGAGAGTGTTTGCCTTGGAGTCTTTAGGAGCTAGAGGCAGAAGAGCCGGAAGTTCAGGGTTATACAAAGCTACGTATGTTATAGGCAGCTTGGCCTGCATAAGGTCCTGTCAACACCTACCCCATTCCACCCCCAAAAAAACCCAAGAGACAGAGCAACAAGGCATAATGAGGGATACGCAGCCCTTCCATTCCTAGTCTTCAGTTGTATCACATGGTGTCCTCTATGCTTCCCACTGGGTCTAACTATAATCAAAGGTAGAACGTATTCTCATGAGGTCCTAATTCAGCGTAATTTCTTCCTGTAGATCTTTCTGTCCTTGGGATGGAGCCCATGAGAAATGCCACCAAAGGCTGCAACGAGTCTGTAGATGAGGTCACGGGGCCATGTAGCTGCCAGGACTGCTCCATGGTCTGTGGCCCCAAGCCCCAGCCTCCACCGCCTCCTGTGCCCTGGAGGATCTTCGGCCTGGACGCCATGTATGTTATCATGTGGTTCACCTATGTGGCGTTTCTGCTGGTATTCTTTGGAGGACTTTTGGCAGTGTGGTGCCACAGGTAAGCCAATTGGTTTGTTTTTTCCTTCAAGACAAGAGCAGAATTGCCCATGTGGCACCTTTAGCTCACAGTTAACATTAGTTAATCTAGACAGGAAATAAATATCCACATGGATACCATTCTCTGGTTATCTTATGCCTGGCAGCTAGTAAATAATTAGGTTTTGTTTAGGTATTTAAACATTTGAAGTTAGTTTACTGATTTATTCAAAATGGTGTGTGATTTAAGGCACCTTGCAGTAACCTAGGCAGTCTGTGTAAGCCACGTCTGATCAAACTCTAGTTACGTGCAGTACTACAGTCCTGTCTGTGTTTGCATCTTGTTTTAAGGCAGTATATTTGTGAGTGTTCACATGGGTACACGCATGTACATAGGTGTGTATACAAGGGTCAGCTGTGCTCAGTTGCCCTCTGCTTTGTTTTTGGGACAAGGTCTCTCATGGCCTAGAGCTGACCGGTTGTGGAGGCCGGCTGGAGCAAGCTCCAGGGACCCACCCGTCTGCCTCCTGGTACTTGGATTGCAAGTGTGTGCCACCATGCCTGGCGTTTGACGTGTGTTCTTGGGGTCTGACTCAGGTCCTCATGATTCCATGGCAGGCACTTTGCAGGCTAGACTGTCTCCTTAGCCCAGGACAATACAGTTTTAGTAATTCTATTGTGAAATAAAGGCTGCAGAAATAGCAAAGTTTATGTGTGCGTGTTCTGAGCTTCATGTTACATTACAGCTAGCAGAACTCGTAGGCAATGTTCAGAATCCAAAAATAGCATTATCATAGTGTTCTGAGCTAAGCCACAGACTTTTTCACATCTCACCGGTGTTGATGAGGTCCTGCCCACTGTTTGCTTCCAGGACCCCACAGTACATTCGTTTTTTGGTTTTATTAATTTTCTCTATTGCGGGACACTCCAGTAGGAATTGGTCATGTCTTTCCATGGCCAGCATGTGATGCTTGCTCGGCATTGTGTTGAGGTTGTGTGTGGACAAGAGCATTCAGGTGTGGTTTCTCAGCGCACCTCGGCGGGGAGTCTGGTGCCCTGGGTTCCATTGCCAGTGAGGTTTGCCTGGATTACATAGTTACGGTGGGGCTGCTGGGTCTCTACTGTGCGGTAGGAACCCCACTCTGGGACTGAAAGTTTCTTAGGAGGAGGGGCTACTTGAAAATGGCTGACTGTTTCTCCTCAAGCCAGCTGATGCTGTCCACTGGTCCTCTGAATGGATGGCGTTGGCCCCGTGGTGATTACAGGTTACTCGCTCTCCCTCGTCACGTCCGGACCCGACCTTCCTTCACTTACTCAGTAGTGTGCCTTGTGTGGACTGTGTCTGATACCGGGCATTGGAGTTCCTTCCCATTAGCTCACGTGTTCTTTTGACGTGCTCCCAACCCCAGGCTCACTGGGTACTTCCTACCCTGGGCCTGGAATCCTCCTCCACCTCAAGGAGTTTCTGGTCCCTTTGTTAGAGAATGGCATGGAGGAGCCTGGACACTAGAGAGCTTTTGGCTACTGGAAGTGTTTTAAAGGACCTAAAAGTGACACCTGTGGATTCCAATGTGAAATTACCTTTGTCATTTTTTACCTTCATCTTCTCTGAGGCCGGTGAGCCCAGACTGGGAAAGCTGACAGGGAGCAGGGGACCCAGGAGGAAGTGAGCTTTGCATCGTATCGAAGTCTGCTAACCCCACCTCCATGCTTCTGTTTCAGAAGACGCTATTTTGTATCTGAGTACACTCCCATTGACAGCAATATAGCCTTCTCTGTGAACACCAGCGACAGAGGTAAGCGTGTGTGGGGGGGGGGGTCGAGGGTTATATTGGGCTGAGAGCCGTGCTCCTTAGTGAGGAGCGGAGAGCCGTGCTCCTTATGTGAGGAGCGGAGAGCCGTGCTCCTTAGGTGAGGAGCGGAGAGCCGTGCTCCTTAGGTGAGGAGCGGAGAGCCGTGCTCCTTAGGTGAGGAGTGGAGAGCCGTGCTCCTTATGTGAAGAATGGAGAGCCGTGCTCCTTATGTGAGGAGCGGAGAGCCGTGCTCCTTATGTGAGGAGCGGAGAGCCGTGCTCCTTATGTGAGGAGCAGAGAGCCGTGCTCCTTATGTGAGGCGGCGTACTGGTGCTGAGGACAGCGGAGTGGAAGCAGACATAGCTCTTCCCTTTTGGCAGTGGTTAGGCATCAGTGTGGCACCTCAGAACCAAGTAATTGATAGTAATGACACAATTATGGACTGAGGGAAGAGCCACAGAAGCCCTGAGGGCAGAGTTGAGTGGAACAGTCACCAGAGGGTCCATCCTGAGCAGCCAAGGAGACTTGACGTAGCTGAGAGGCAGGTAGGGGCTGTGGGGACCGTGAGCGCGGAGCAGGTGTGGGACCGTGAGCGTGGAGCAGGTGTGGGACCGTGAGCGTGGAGCAGGTGTGGGACCGTGAGCGTGGAGCAGGTGTGGGGACCGTGAGCGTGGAGCAGGTGTGGGACCGTGAGGAGCAGGTGTGGGGACCGTGAGGAGCAGGTGTGGGGACCGTGAGCGTGGAGCAGGTGTGGGACCGTGAGGAGCAGGTGTGGGACCGTGAGCGTGGAGCAGGTGTGGGGACCGTGAGGAGCAGGTGTGGGGACCGTGAGCGTGGAGCAGGTGTGGGACCGTGAGCGTGGAGCAGGTGTGGGACCGTGAGCGTGGAGCAGGTGTGGGGACCGTGAGCGTGGAGCAGGTGTGGGACCGTGAGGAGCAGGTGTGGGACCGTGAGGAGCAGGTGTGGGGACCGTGAGGAGCAGGTGTGGGGCCGTGAGCGTGGAGCAGGTGTGGGACCGTGAGCGCGGAGCAGGTGTGGGACCGTGAGCGTGGAGCAGGTGTGGGACCGTGAGGAGCAGGTGTGGGACCGTGAGCGCGGAGCAGGTGTGGGACCGTGAGCGTGGAGCAGGTGTGGGACCGTGAGCGCGGAGCAGGTGTGGGGACCGTGAGCGTGGAGCAGGTGTGGGACCGTGAGCGTGGAGCAGGTGTGGGACCGTGAGCGTGGAGCAGGTGTGGGACCGTGAGCGTGGAGCAGGTGTGGGACCGTGAGCGTGGAGCAGGTGTGGGACCGTGAGCGTGGAGCAGGTGTGGGACCGTGAGGAGCAGGTGTGGGACCGTGAGGAGCAGGTGTGGGGACCGTGAGCGTGGAGCAGGTGTGGGACCGTGAGCGTGGAGCAGGTGTGGGACCGTGAGGAGCAGGTGTGGGGACCGTGAGGAGCAGGTGTGGGGACCGTGAGGAGCAGGTGTGGGGACCGTGAGCGTGGAGCAGGTGTGGGACCGTGAGGAGCAGGTGTGGGGACCGTGAGGAGCAGGTGTGGGACCGTGAGCGTGGAGCAGGTGTGGGACCGTGAGGAGCAGGTGTGGGGACCGTGAGGAGCAGGTGTGGGGACCGTGAGCGTGGAGCAGGTGTGGGGACCGTGAGCGTGGAGCAGGTGTGGGGACCGTGAGCGTGGAGCAGGTGTGGGGACCGTGAGCGTGGAGCAGGTGTGGGACCGTGAGGAGCAGGTGTGGGGACCGTGAGCACGGAGCAGGTGTGGGACCGTGAGGAGCAGGTGTGGGACCGTGAGCGTGGAGCAGGTGTGGGACCGTGAGGAGCAGGTGTGGGGACCGTGAGCGCGGAGCAGGTGTGGGACCGTGAGCGTGGAGCAGGTGTGGGGACCGTGAGCGTGGAGCAGGTGTGGGACCGTGAGCGTGGAGCAGGTGTGGGGACCGTGAGGAGCAGGTGTGGGGACCGTGAGCGTGGAGCAGGTGTGGGGACCGTGAGCGTGGAGCAGGTGTGGGACCGTGAGCGTGGAGCAGGTGTGGGGACCGTGAGGAGCAGGTGTGGGACCGTGAGGAGCAGGTGTGGGGACCGTGAGCGTGGAGCAGGTGTGGGGACCGTGAGCGTGGAGCAGGTGTGGGGACCGTGAGCGTGGAGCAGGTGTGGGGACCGTGAGCGTGGAGCAGGTGTGGGACCGTGAGGAGCAGGTGTGGGGACCGTGAGCGTGGAGCAGGTGTGGGGACCGTGAGCGTGGAGCAGGTGTGGGACCGTGAGCGTGGAGCAGGTGTGGGGACCGTGAGGAGCAGGTGTGGGACCGTGAGCGTGGAGCAGGTGTGGGACCGTGAGCGTGGAGCAGGTGTGGGGACCGTGAGCGTGGAGCAGCTGCAGACCGGATTCCCAGCACCCCATAGCACTCAATACTTTCCCTTCTCTCCTTCCCTCACTCTCCCAGGGGAGGCCTCATGCTGTGACCCACTCGGTGCAGCCTTCGACAGCTGTCTGAGGCGCATGTTCACAAAGTGGGGAGCTTTCTGTGTCCGAAACCCCACCTGCGTCATTTTCTTCTCGTTGGTCTTCATCGCTGCGTGTTCTTCTGGGCTGGTGTTTGTCCGGGTCACCACCAATCCTGTGGAGCTCTGGTCAGCCCCTCACAGTCGGGCCCGCTTGGAGAAGGAGTACTTTGATAAGCACTTTGGGCCTTTCTTCCGCACAGAGCAGCTCATTATCCAGGCCCCCAGCACCAGTGTTCATATCTATGAGCCGTACCCCTCAGGATCTGATGTGCCCTTTGGGCCGCCACTGGACAAAGAGATTCTGCACCAGGTAACCCACCATTTGCAGTCACCGCTTAGCCACGGAGGGTGCAGCACTGTCCTGTTTCTTTCTGTTGCTGGGATAAACACCCTCACCCACAGCCACATGGGGAGGAAGGGGCTTCGATGGCCTACAGTCTCAGAGCGCACAGTCATCACTAAAGGGAGTTGAGCAGGAACTTGAAGGCAGCGGGCTTGCTGGTTGTGAGGCAGGCTTGTGCTCAGCTAGCTTTCTCGTTATAAAATCCAGGACCACCTGCCTGGGGAATGGTGCTGCCCGTAGTGGGCTAGGCCGTCCAACACCACTTCACTGTTAAAGACAGTCCCCTACGGATATGCCCCTAGATGCCAGTCTGATCTAGGCAATTCCTTAATTGAAATTTTCTCACCAGATAACATCTTCTATTAGAAAATGCACGCATATACATAAATGGTCACAAGGCATGTATACATAAAAGGCCAAGGTGGGAAGTGGTATATTTTTGGCAAGGGACAATGTCAGAAGACCAAGAATTTGCTGGGAGAAGGGGGAAGGATGATTTTTGTGTCCAGTGTTGAGGTCTGTTACGGTAATGATGCCTCCTTCCCAGAAACCGCTAACAGGAGCTCTCCATCCCAATTTTCTGTTAAGAGGAGCCATTGGCCCTCACCATGCTGTGGTACAACCTTCCCCCATCCTCCGGAGTATTTGCTCAAAGCATCTTTATCGTCTGAGTTCTCAGGGCAGTGTGCTTGGTGACCATCTAAGGAAGCCTGACATGTTTCTGGATTTTCTTATTTTCAAAATCCTTCAGGTTCTTGACTTACAGATTGCCATTGAAAGTATCACTGCATCTTATGGCAATGAGACCGTGACACTTCAGGACATCTGTGTGGCCCCTCTCTCTCCATACAACAAGAACTGCACCATTCTGAGTGTGTTAAATTACTTCCAGAACAGCCATTCGGTGCTGGACCACCAAGTAGGCGATGTCTTCTATGTATATGCCGATTACCACACGCACTTTCTATACTGTGTACGGTAAGTGGCAGCGGCCATTCTTGTGCCCTGTTGGTACTTGAGAACTTCTGTTGCTTACTCTTTTCATGGGTCTTGAGACCCAGTAGACAGAGCAAGATGTGCTTTGAGAAGCTCGCATTCTAACAGAGGGAGAGCTACCATAGACAAATAAATCTTTGCATTTTGCTTTGCAATGGGGGCATCTGCTGAAAATGTCGTTCTTAATTTAGTACAAACCTTAGACCACTGTGATGCCGCTGAGCAACACAATTCCAGGGGACACAGTCTTGTATCTGGTCTGCCGCTGAGAGAGACAGTTATGTGTGGTATAGGACTGTGGGTGTTGTCCTGTCAGGAGGGATGAGGCTGTGAGGAGAGCACTAAGGCTGAGCACTAAGGCTTGGGTTTTGTGCTGCCTTAGACTGTAGAATTGTTCAGAGGGAAAGAGAAGGAGGGAGCCTGTGGATACCGGAGGAGGAAAGTGTCCGAGCAGCATGAGCAGCAAACGCTGAGGCCCTGGGGTAGGAGCTTTCTCGGGACGTACGGGGAAGAGCAGGCACACATCAGCGGCTTACAGGGTCATCCTTCCTCCTGGAGTTAGGAGTCCACTGTACTTTTCTTGTTCTTCAAATAGAACCTTCTGTCATTAAGCTTAGTTTTAATGCACGCAGCCTCCTTTCAAGGAGGTTCCCTTTGGGAGGCTGTGTGTCAGGGCAGCCTTATAACTGGGATTAGTCATCCAGCTTGAGTGACCTGTGAGGGAGCCGGCTTGTCAGGAAGAGTGACTTGACTCCTGGTAGGCCTACCATCCCTGAGTGCTCTTGACCTGGGCTGGACAGGTGTGTCCAGCTGTTCACCATGGGAGCAGGGAAATGACTAGGTCTCTGATGGGTGTGCTGCTCAGCTTACTTTCTCCACAGTGCAGCTCTGACCAAGAACTCTCGTAACCTTAAACTGTGTCTGTGTTAGATGTGACTGTTCAGCTGCTGGCTGTGTTCACTCCTCAGTGATGCTGCCACTGAGAGCAGGTTGTGGGCTTGAGACGTGAATACACATGTTCATAAGCCTACACCATCATTCCTCACTGTGCAGATGGTGGGACAGAGCTTTGGGTGACTGGAAAAAATTCAATAGTGTAAAATTTCTATATTTGGAGGAAAAACTGGTTTCCTGTGGTACAAATCAAAAAATGAAAGTGTGGGAGAGAGGCACACAGACGTCTCATCAGAGTTGAGGCTCAGGCTCGGAGCCTGCCTGTGATGGCGCTCCGTGAGCTGCATGCCTGTGATGGCGCTCCCGTGAGCTGCATGCCACTGCAGGATCAATCAGAGTTCTGGGAGATGCACTGCACAGCTATGTGCAAAGTGGAAGGAAGAAAGCGGGCCAGACACAGGAAGCAGGCAGGCCAGCCTCCCATGATGGGCGTGGTCAGTAGTCACCCTTCGTGATCTCAGGCCCGTCCCCAGCTTGCACCTTCCTTAGGTGGTGGTTGTGTTGTGCATTTTAACCTCTGTGTGGCCTCTTCTCTCCCTTTGTGGTCAGCCTGGGGGTAAAGGACTGCTCCCTGTAATGCCACCTGCCTCCAGGGCTCATCCTGGCAGCTCTGAAGGGCGATGTTTTTAGAGAACTTCCCAAATGCCCGGCTGAGTTTGGTGATGACTGTCCTGAAATGTCTGCCCAGGCTATTACACAAACCTGGCTGGCCAGCCTGCTTCCTGTGTCTGGCCCGCTTTCTTCCTTCCACTTTGCACATAGCTGTGCAGTGCATCTCCCAGAACTCTGATTGATCCTGCAGTCTCTGGGATAAAATCTGAACCACTCAGCATGGTGCCACTGAATCCTTGTTTCCCCGCACAGCCTGATTCTCTTCCTTTGCAGCCCTGCCTCCTCTCCTGGGAGCCTGACTCTGTGAGCCACATGCTCCAAGATGAGGCTGACCACTCCAGACACCAGCCCCCTGCTTTTCTCCCTGCCTCATGCCTGTTTGCTCCAGTCATGAGCACAGTTTATTCCACTCATGATCCCTTTTTACCCAAGACATTTTTATGGATTCTTAGGTGTAGTGGTATATAAAATGAGTATAGATCAAACATTTACTGGTGGCGCTGGAGAGATGGCTCAATGGTTAAGAGCACTGGCTGCACTTCCAGAGTCTGAGTTCAGTTCCCAGCACCCACATGGTGGCTCACAACCATCTGTAATGGGATCTGATTCACTTTTCTGATAAAGCTTGAAGACAGAGTACTCATATACATAAAATCAATTTTAAAAAAATCTACTGGTGATAAATCATGAGATTTGTTTTGAAGCACTTCTTTGGTATACTTATCATTAAAGATGAAAGCAGATTTACATACTAATGAGGTGGGTGTACTCATTTTGACATAAAGAACAAAATCTTGGATGGACATTGTCCAGCACAGACCATCTTCAAAGCCTTTCAGAGTTGATCAGTATTTTGATTTTACAATGATCAGTGCTCAGAGCATTTCTTCTCATAAATATATGGTATAAAAGAGCAGAGGTATGTTTAGGGCAGTTTTAGAAATTGTTGGAAATACTGACTTAATCCCGAGCCACAAGTCTTTTAACAAATTTTATGAAACTTAAGTATTAGTTTTGAAAATGACACCACTCCAACACAATATGGTCCAAGTCAGTGTATAGTATTATAGTGTGACCCATGCCGGGGAACATCCCGGAGGGAAATACTGGAGGGTTTTGTTCTCCAGAGAAGAGCAGAAAACTGTGCATGGTGACACTCTGCAGTCTGTAACACACAGTAATCTTGAATCAGGCTGCACTTGTTGACGTGTGCTGTGACAGCATGTGAGGTGCAAAGCACACGTGTTCGGAACGAGGGTTGCATTGACGTCACACAATGCAATGTGAGAGGACATTGCCAGAAATGCCTTGATTCTCTGTGCAGTTGGTTTTCTGGTAACTTGGTTGTTGAGCATCAGTCTTTCACGGTTTTTAACCCCCGCCTTTGTTTGTATGACAGCACGAGGGCTCACAAATACAGGTGAGGAGGCTTCTGTATAACTCATCTCCTTCGCCTACTTCGTCCTCATTGCTGCCCGTTCCCTTTACCCGACTGTCCTCACACAGCACCATGTGTCACTGGGCCTGGCTGGTGCCCAGTGGCTTGATTCCCTAGAGGTGGTGACCGATGTCTTATTCAACTAAGGAACCTGAGTGTCTTGGAATGCAGACGCCGCCCCTGAAGTGTTTAGGTTGCTGTGTCTTGGAGGTTCTGACTGAGTTTTTCTGAACTTCTGGCAGGGCCCCCGCCTCTCTGAACGACACGAGTATGCTCCACGATCCTTGCCTGGGTACATTTGGAGGACCTGTGTTCCCATGGCTTGTGCTGGGTGGCTATGACGGTAAGAAGCTGTCAAAGTGTTTACAATTCGGAAATCAAGAAGTCTTAATGTCCCATCTCTTGAATCCTAAAAATATCTCCTTTAGCTTTGGGGTTGAATTTTACTCAGGATTTAAAAGAAGTGAGCCAGGTTTGGTGGTACACACCTAAAATACTCAGCATTCAGGAAGTAGAAGCAGGTGGAAATATTAGTTTGGGACTAGCCTAGGCTACATAGTGAGATCTTGTCTCAACAAAACAAGAAAACAAAAAGAAGTGGGTTGTTTTTTTAAACCAGTCAGGACAGTGACTCAGCAGTTGTTTATGGCCTCTGCTTCCTAGGGCAACTGCTTTTGGGGTACACCTGGCTAGGTAACACCTCCAACATCTGCAGCCTGATCATGCTGCCAGCCAAACAGGTTTTCTCCAGTTGCTAAAGAGGCCAGGTAGCTTTTCTTCCCTCCGAAGGGAGGAGAGAAGCTGTGATCTGTATCTGAGACAGGTTCTGCCTCACCGTCATAAAAAGCCCTTTCTTACACGGTGGGAAAAGAATGATGTCATAACCGGCCTTCCCACAGGGGAAGTGCGTCTGGTTTCTCTCTCTCTCTCTTTCTTTTTTTTGAGACAGTCCTGGAACTCACTCTGTAGCCCAGGCTGGCCTCAAACTTACAGAGATCCACCTGCCTCTGCCTCCCAAGTGCTGGGATTAAAGGTGTATACCACCACCACCTGGCTGGATCTGGTTTCTTATTCCTTCCATCTGAGTAAACTCCAGGAGATCAAAGAAGGGTTGTGTGGAAAGTGAAACTGTTAAAGAACTGGGAAAAACATGAGGGATTTTTTTTTTTTTAAGAAGACTCAAAAGCCACAGAAGGAAAGACTGAATTTGACTGCATAAGAATTCTAAAGTCGTGTGTGAAAGAGAGCGTACAGTTTGTTTTAAGACAAGAGGAAAACTCATTTTTTAGCACCTTCCTGGCCATGGGGAGCTATTTCTTCTCAATGAAGTTTGTTTGCTGGCCTTTCAAAAAAACATTTAAAAAGTAAAAGGCAAGAAACTGCACATACACCTATTACTGTTCATAACAGACGACATTTCTCTATTAATAAAAAGGGCTGTGTGGTGGGAGGGTCGAGTTTAAAGTAGTTGAAAGTTACAAGAAGCAATATAGATGCCAGTGGGTGTGTGTAGGTGTGTGTGTGTGGTCTGTGGGGTGTGTGTGTGTGTGTGTGTGTGTGTGTGTGTGTGTGTGTGTGTGTGTGTGTGGTGTGTGTGGGGGGTGTGTGTGTGGTGTTTGTGTGTGTGTGTGGTCTGTGTGTGGTGTGTTTGTGGGAGGGGTGTGGTGTGTTTGTGGGGGGGTGTGTGGGAGGGGTGTGGTGTGTTTGTGGGGTGTGTGTGTGTGTATGTGTGTGTGTGGTGTGTGTGTGGTGTGTGGTTCACATGGCAGGGATGGGACAGGGTGCATGTTTGTGTGCACAGAGGCCAGAGAAGGGCCTCAGGAGTCCTCTGTCACTCTCCACTTTATTTGAAACTGGGTCTCTCACTGCACCTGGAACAGGCCGCTGGCCAGCAAGCCCCGGCGGTCCTGCTCCACACAATGCTGGGTAACAGGCGGTGTGACTGACCATTCCCACCTTACGGGGATGCTAGGGTCCAAAGTCAGGTCTTCGTGTTTGCACAGCAAGTGTGTCTCGCCTGCAGCCCCCAAAATGACTTCAATTATATGGAGGAAATACTCATGTTCACTTCTGTTTGGGAAGTGAGATCACTTCAGTCTTTGTACCCAATGAACTGGCGAAAGCCACAGAACTGAGAAAACCCTGTTGGTGAAGACCTGCAAGGTTGCCTAGTTACTAGGCTCTAGGCCCCAAGCAGGGATGGCTTCTTCTGTCTTTTGCTCTGGTGTGTCTATAGCACATAAAATAAAACCTGCCCAAGGTCGGACTCGATATTTTGTTTAATACAGGATCAAAACTTTGTAGAGAAGTTTTATCAAAAATTGGACACACTCATAGTTTTGACTCAAAGATGACAGGAAAAAATTGATTCTACAAATATGAACTTTATGTATTAAAATATTTGTAGATAGCCTTTGTAGTCATTTTGTAATTTTTTAAAATTGCAGAGATGTCCACTGGTTGCATTATGCTGGAGCATATGACACTGCACAAAAGAATAAAAGCATTTTCTGTCTTTATATACTGAGACGGAGCAATTTCTTAAGACGGTTTTCTGTGAGTTTTGTTTGTGTTTGGAGACAGGACCTTGCTCTGTAGCTCAGGCTGCTTAGAACTTGACCAGGTGGCCCTGACTAGCCACAGACACTTACCTTCCTCAGCCTCCAAAGTTCTCAGATGTGTGACGCAGTAGGTTCCAGTGTACATAACTTTATACTGTTGGAGAGTAGACGTCACTCTCTGTGAAAAGAAGAAAGAGAATACACGGGTGTCTGCTTGTGTGCGCACACAGGTGTCTGTTTGTGTGTGCACACAGGTGTCTGCTTGTGTGCGCACACGTGTGTCTGCTTGTGTGTGCACACGTGTGTCTGCTCGTGTGCGCACACGTGTGTCTGCTTGTGTGTGCACACGTGTGTCTGCTTGAGTGTGCACACGTGTGTCTGCTTGTGTGTGCACACGTGTGTCTGCTTGAGTGTGCACACGTGTGTCTGCTCGTGTGCGCACACGTGTGTCTGCTCGTGTGTGCACACAGGTGTCTGCTTGTGTGCGCACACGTGTGTCTGCTTGTGTGTGCACACGTGTGTCTGCTTGTGTGTGCACACGTGTGTCTGCTTGTGTGTGCACACGTGTGTCTGCTCGTGTGCGCACACGTGTGTCTGCTTGTGTGTGCACACATGTGTCTGCTCGTGTGCGCACACGTGTGTCTGCTTGTGTGCTCTGAAACTGTTGGCAGCTGGCTGGCCACAGCCTGAGGAGGAGAACTAGACTAGAACAAAAATTTGGAAAGGGGAGAAATTTTTCAATAAACATCTCTCTGCCTACTTTGAAGTTTCTACAGTGCACACACTGTGTCACTAAGAACCACCATTGTCCACACTGTGTCACTAAGAACCACCATTGTCCACACTGTGTCACTAAGAACCACCATTGTCCACACACTGTGTCACTAAGAACCACCATTGTCCACACACTGTGTCACTGAGAACCACCATTGTCCACACACTGTGTCACTGAGAACCACCATTGTCCACACACTGTGTCACTGAGAACCACCATTGTCCACACTGTGTCACTAAGAACCACCATTGTCCACACACTGTGTCACTGAGAACCACCATTGTCCACACACTGTGTCACTGAGAACCACCATTGTCCACACACTGTGTCACTAAGAACCACCATTGTCCACACTGTGTCACTAAGAACCACCATTGTCCACACACTGTGTCACTGAGAACCACCATTGTCCACACACTGTGTCACTAAGAACCACCATTGTCCACACACTGTGTCACTGAGAACCACCATTGTCCACACACTGTGTCACTGAGAACCACCATTGTCCACACACTGTGTCACTAAGAACCACCATTGTCCACACACTGTGTCACTGAGAACCACCATTGTCCACACACTGTGTCACTGAGAACCACCATTGTCCACACACTGTGTCACTAAGAACCACCATTGTCCACACACTGTGTCACTAAGAACCACCATTGTCCACACAAAACATCATTGGCCAGCATGGTGGCGCACGCCTTTGATCCCAGCACTCAGGAGGCAGAGACAGGTGGATCTCTGTGACTTCAAGGCCAGCCTGGGCTACAGAGTGAGTTCCAGGACAGCCTGGGCTACCTATAGAAACCTCATCTGAAAGTATGAGAGGGACTAGAAGAGCAGGAGTGGGAAGTGCAGCAGAGGTCACTGGGCGTCATGTGTTCAAAATACATTATAGACATGTATGAAAAATATTGAAGTAAGGCCCATTATGTATAGTTAATAAAAAGAAGTGTAAAAGAGGAAAATACCCAAGAATTGATGCTTCCTTGTCTTTAGTGGAGGCGGTTCTTCCTGAGTGGTGACTGTCGGAACGCTTTGCGTTTGTGTTACCTGAGCTAGCACAGGCCCGCTCTGTGGCTCCTGCTCACGGAAGGAACTCTAGTGGGAGACCAGCAATGGACTGTGGTTTCTCTGACTTCGCATGCTCGTACTCGGCTCTTTGATGTCACATTTTTGCTTTCTAGATCAGAACTACAATAATGCCACGGCGCTTGTGATCACCTTCCCTGTCAGCAATTACTATAATGACACAGAGAAGCTCCAGAGGGCCCAGGCCTGGGAAAAAGAGTGAGTCACTCATGGGGCTGGACGTGGGCAGTGTGTGCACTTGAGATCTGAGTTATGGGATCGTTTTCACTTGGTAGTAGCTATACTAAGAAGTCTTTGAACAGATTTACCTACAGCAGGCGGTTTAAACAGGTATTTCTGTGCAAGAATACAGACATATTCATACACCTTTGTACAGTCCACTCATTTTGAGTCTTCCATTTAAGGCCTCAGCCAATCGAATGTTCTGTTAGCATAAATACTGTTTCCTTTAGCTGTCCTGTCCACCCTGTCTTCTCAGCCTCTCACCCACAGCGCTAGGCAACCACAAATCTGCCTTTTGTCCTCATAGACCTTACTGCTGTGAAATGTTGTATATGGTTTATATATGTGGACTTTTGTGTCTGGCTTCCTCTGCTTACCCTCATGTGTTCAAGGTTGTCCATATAGTGAACTATGTCAATGCTTTGTTTCTCTTTTTTGTCCAAATACTCCAGTGTATAACCATACCACATTTTGTTTGTGCATTTATCATTGACACACGTTTGGGTTGCATCAGTCTTTGGACTGTTCTGAAGAATGGCTCTGTGCATGTTTGTCTGTGCACTTTTATCAGACATATTTTCATTTCCTTTGGAGACAGACTTATATCCGTAGGAACAGAATCACTGGGTCTTACCATAATCCTGCTTTAATTGTTTGAAGACTGATTGGTGGATTCCACTGTGTGGTGATGCCCATCTGTGCTTGCATGCTTTATCTGACCTTTTCATGCCGGCTGTTCCGATGAGTGGCACTGAGTAACGTTTTCTGATTCCTTTTTTGTGATTTAGACTGTCCCGTGTGGCCCAGGCTGGCCTTGAACCTGCTGTGTAGCTGAGGATGGTCTTGAACTTCTGACCCTCTTGCCTCCGCCTCCCGAGTGCTAGGATCACAGGCTTGCACCACCTGTTTTGCTCAGTGCCAGGGGCAGAACCCAGGGTTTTGCGCATGCTCGGTGGGTGCTCCACCATGGGAGCCAGCCCTGTGGTTTGCATTTTCTTGATTAAAAATCTCAAGCATCTTTTCATGAACTTAGTCTCCATATCCTTTGCCCACTTTAATTGGATTGTCTGTACTTTTATTATTTAGAGTTGTAAAATTCTGATACATATTCTAGGTAGAAGTCAGTCCCTTATCAGATATGTGATTTCAAGATATTTCCTCCATTTCTGTGGTTCTCCCACTTTGTGCTTTTGAAGGTCAGATTTTTCCTTGCATTGCCTTACTTTTCATGTATCTAAGAAGCCATGATCCAACACAATGACAGACTTATTCTTGTGTTTTCTTCTGAGAATTTTATAATGTTAACTCCTCTGCTTGATCCATTTGAATCTTTCAAACCCAGGCCTCTACCCTAGGCAAATGTTTTGCCGTGGAGCTACATACACAGCCCTTGGTTTGAGACCAGGTCTTGCTTTAGAGCTCAGGCTAGCCCTTGACAGCCCTACACTACCACTCCCAGCCCATTAATTCTTGTGTATGGCATGAGGTAAGGATCAGCTTCACTCTGCATATAGCTAGTCTTTAACCATTTTCTCTCCACGGTGGAGTGGTCATGCATCTTCATCAGACACAGTATGTCCGTAGGTCTTGCTGTCATGGTTTTGTCTGTCTGTCTGTTCTATGCCAGTGTCACACTTTCTTTCTTTCTTTTTTTTTTTTTTTTTAAGATTTATTTATTTATTATGTATACAGTGTTCTGCCTACATGCATGCTTGCAGGCCAGAAGAGGGCACCAGATCTCATTACGGATGGTTGAGAGCCACCATGTGGGTGCTGGGAATTGAACTCAGGACCTCTGGAAAAACAGCCAGTGCTCTTAACCGCTGAGCCATCTCTCCAGCCCCTGTCACACTTTCTTGATCGCTGTGCTAAGTTTGGAATTAGAAAATGCGAGTCCTTCTTTGTTCATCTCAGTCTGTTATGGCTGCTTGGGGCCTTGCAATTACATGTGAACTTTAGAAGCAGCTTATGATGTCCAATAAAGAAATCAGATGGGATCTACAGTGGTGTTGAACTTATATATCTGCTTTTAAAACTTTGCTCTATGAGTCTATGTATTCATTAAGCCTGCCATGGTGGTGCATGCCAGTGACCCCAGTACTCAGGCTGAGGCAAAGGGATCACTGAACTCAGAAATCTTAGACCAGCTTGGGCTTATAATGAGAGGTGTCTCTGTAAACAAAACCAACCAACCAGCCAAACAAACAAACAAAAATCAACAAAACTGTGAGCCAATTTTAAACATCTTCTGAACAGTACAGTAGAACAGTAGAATTTCAGGACTGGGGTTACAGTTAGGGGTGGAACGCTGACCTCGGGTGCCCGGGGTCTTGTGTTTGGTGCTCCACACCACCACAAAAGGCAGACCAGTCAGCAGCTGGAATTTGCCCATAGTCTGAGGGCATCCTCCCAGGCTCCTGGGCAGAGTTAAGCAGGATGGCGTTTGTCATAAATGTTGAGACCACTCTTACTCAACTGTCGTGTAGTTTTTAATTAAAAATGTAAAAACTTGTTTACCCTTTAGGTTTATTAAGTTTGTGGAAAACTACAAAAACCCCAATCTGACCATCTCTTTCATCGCTGAGCGAAGCATTGAAGACGAGCTCAATCGGGAAAGTAAGAGTGACGTGTTCACCATTGCCATCAGCTACGCCATCATGTTCCTGTACATCTCCCTGGCCTTGGGACACATCCAGAGCTGTAGCAGGCTTCTGGTAAGTGTGAGGGGCACGTGGGGAGGGTGTTAGAGGCCGTGAATATCTGTGCTAGAAACGACAGTACGAACCGTGGCATGCCGCGTTTCCTAGCCTTACTAATTCACTCTTCCCAAAGCTGCCTCAGGTGTGGTGTCTCAGTGAACATCACGCTGACAGGAGCTTTCTCTTTTCTGCATCTGGGTTCTTCATTGTAAACCTAAGGTTTACTTCACGTAAACTGCGTTTTTGTTTTTTTGTTTTGTTTTTTTCCTGTTTGCCCACGCCATTGCCTGTGAGCACATGAACTTTGTTGCTAGGGAGAAACCTGGAAGTCTTTCTGTGTCCTCTCGCACTGTGCACTGCACGTTTAACTCCTGTTTTGGACAGACCCTGTAACAGGCAGGACAAAGAGCGCTCTCTGATGACCTCTGCCTTTGCCTGACATCAGGTGGACTCTAAAATCTCGCTGGGCATCGCGGGGATCCTGATAGTGCTGAGCTCAGTGGCCTGCTCCCTGGGCATCTTCAGCTACATGGGGATGCCACTGACCCTCATTGTCATCGAAGTCATCCCATTCTTGGTGCTGGCTGTCGGGGTGGACAACATCTTCATTCTCGTGCAGACCTACCAGGTAAATCTTCGTCGCCTCAGGGAGCTCAGACTTGCAGGCTCTGGTGTTTGTGAATGCCTGCCCAGCAAGTACCCCCCACTGCCTGTAACAATACAGACAGCTTCACATCCTTTTCCTCAGCAGCTCCTTGGTGTCTCTGATTTGTTCTGCATATCGTTGGACCAAGAATTTCAGCCCTTTCTTTGATGTGTGGAACATATAGAAAATAAGAATTTGGTATTAAATATCATTTTCACATGTGTTTATAAGAACTGACACCAAGGAAGTCATTTCACGTATGAGGGATGTTAAATTGATTCCAGACACGTAGCAGATTTGTGGTGTCCTGAGGCACCGCTGATGGCACAGGGTCCACACAGTCTGCCATCGTAGAACGTGATCTCAGTTGCCTGGGGTCCGTCCTCGTCTGAGTGGAGACTCAGTGGCATCCACCCTCCTGCAGCCCATGTGCCAACGGTTGTCTGATAGCCCGAGCCCAGGTTGGTGATCTCAGTTAACCAGGCGGAGTGGCTCGGCAGCTCACCGGTGGGCTTAGCTGCTGCAGCTGCTCATCCAGCCACCCCTCCTTTACCCTGAGGTAACACAAGACAGGAGTGAGATGGCGTTTCTGTTACAGAGAAATTGTAATAGTGCATTTTTCTTTCCTTCAAGAGAGATGAGCGTCTTCAGGAGGAGACCCTGGATCAGCAACTGGGCAGGATCCTTGGGGAAGTGGCCCCTACTATGTTCCTGTCGTCCTTTTCTGAGACCTCGGCGTTTTTCTTTGGTAATCGTGCTGTAGATTGTACTCTAGCTTGCTGGGTATTTTGGCCCCAGTGCTGCTCCCTTTTGTGAGCTGTTTCATGTTGGAGTGCCGCTTGCTGAACCGCCATGTCTTGGCGATTGGCGGTGTCTCGGGAGTCAGCTTTCAAGTGCTCTCTCAACTGTGTGTCCCAGAACAGTGTGATGCTGGGATTCACGGTGACAGGGACTTGAGCTCTTCCGTCTCCTCCGCGTCTGGTGCCTGTAGCACGTGTTAGTATCGGGAAATGGCACCCCGCGTGCCCACGGAGACCTTGGCAGTGCCTCACACATTGGCGTCCAGGAGGCTCTGCCTTTGTTTCCAGACGGGCTTCCTCCCTGAACACGCGCTCCCCGGGCAACAGGCTCGTTAATGAGTAGAGCTGCTTGTGGTGCCTCAGTGCAAGGAGCCAGAATGAGCCGGTTCCTCAGGGAGTCCTTGGTGCAGAGCCGTCCCTGAGTAGTGATGCTGCCGGCCCCGCCCATCTCCAAAGTGTCCAAAGAGAAACTGACTCGGTCCTTGTAGAGGCTGGACGAGGCTGGAAGTCTGTGCTGAGGAGACAGTCTCACATTGTCTGAGGTCACAGGCCGCAGTGCCCACGTGACCGCCAGCTCTTACACGGGCCATTGTAGGCTAGTTTAGGTGGCGAGCTTTCATGCTGGCTCCTCGTCGCTCTTCCTTTCTACAGAGAGAATCTTTGAAGCCTGTGGTCTTTACTGTGCCCCGATAGGCACAGGTGCCACAGGGAATGAGCATTTCACTTCTAAGGAAAGCAGTGCAAGTGTGCCCATGGTAGCAGCGGGGACGGAGCCTCAGCATCAGCCCAACCTCAGCAAACTTTACCGTTTGCTTTGGCATCCTCAGGACGGCACACGTCCCATCTAAAGAGGCAGATGCCTATGTTTGTTTCTAGGATCATGTGGCCAGCCCAGCATCACAAAGTTTGATTTTTTTTAACCCCTAAATAATATGGCGAATCTAGATTTTTGTGTAAATCTTATTCCACTATTAAATACTGACAACCTATTAAAAATAGTTTTGATCCTAAAATGATCGGTATCGTGTGGGTCCTATGTGCACGGCAGCATGGCCCTGAGAGCCGCAGTCCTCTAAGTGGTGTGACTGCCTTCCTCTCCCTGCAGGGGCACTGTCCTCGATGCCGGCCGTCCACACCTTCTCTCTGTTTGCGGGCTTGGCCGTCCTCATCGACTTCCTCCTTCAGATTACCTGCTTTGTGAGCCTCTTGGGCTTAGATATTAAGAGGCAAGAGGTAAGTTCCAGGATATGTGTGAGTCTAAAGTCTAGGTCATGTCAAGGGTCTTTCCATATCCTCGTCCTCTCTGTACCCTCAGAAAAATCGGCTGGACATCCTGTGCTGTGTCAGAGGTGCTGACGACGGTAGAGGCATCCAGGCCTCCGAGAGCTGCCTGTTCCGCTTCTTCAAGAACTCCTTTGCCCCCCTTCTGATGAAGGACTGGCTGCGACCAATTGTGGTGCGGACTTTTCTGTGGTTTCTCTGTCTTCTCTCCCTTCACAGGTGTGCCACATGCCTTCTGAGGCTTGGGATGGCGATTCCAATCACTGTTAATACACTGCCAAAGTACAAAGGCAAATAGTACGGTAGCGAGGTCCCTTCTGCGGCTTGTTTATTGTTTGTTTTTGTTTTTTGAGATGGGGTTTCTCTGTGTCCTGGAGCTCTCTCTGTAGACCAGACTGGCCTCGAACTCACAGAGATCTGCCTGCCTCTGCCTCCCGAGTGCTGGGATTAAAGGTGTGCTTCACCACCACTGGGCTATCCTTGGATTTTCTATCTTACTCTAGCAAAGTCTGGCTTTGGACTCGGAATGCAGTTCAGTGGTAGAGTACTTGCCCAGCCTTATGCAAGGCATGGGGTTCAACCTCTAATACTACCAAAAAGAAAACAGTATCATGTCTTTTGTCTGTAAGGTTTTATTTCTGTTCTTCAGTTTATTGTTACATTAGCAATTGGTGTCTTGCCATTTGCTTTTCCTTCCAGGTAGCCGTATTTGTGGGTGTCCTGTCATTCAGTATTGCAGTCGTGAACAAAGTAGAAATCGGATTGGATCAGTCTCTCTCAATGCCAAATGTAAGGCGCTTTCTTTTCTTTAACTTTTAGCTGATGATGAGTCGTTTTCAGAGCGTGTGTGGGGGTGTTAATGCTTGCTTCCGAATGTAGGTCATGTAAGGGGCGACAGTGAACTCCAGGGCTCTGCTGGAGTGGGCCACGGGCCCTATGAACTCACACCGTTCTTCATGGCACAGCCTTAGGGATGGAGCAGCCAGTCTCCTGAGGTCACCTTCTGAGGTCCCCTCTGGTTGGGGCTTAGCAACCGTGCGCACTGGGACCTGGGGAAGAGAGCCATGAGTCTAGGTTGGCGGCTCGGGCTCCCTCTTTTACCTTAGTAGTCTCCATCTCCTTTAGCTCTCTCCAAACGTACTCTTCTCTTCTTTGGTCTTCTTTCAGGATTCCTACGTGATCGATTATTTCAAATCACTCGGGCAGTACCTGCACTCGGGTCCGCCTGTGTACTTTGTCCTGGAGGAAGGTCATAACTACGCTACTCACAGAGGGCAGAACATGGTGTGCGGCGGCATGGGCTGTGACAATGACTCCCTGGTACAGCAGATATTTAACGCAGCTGAGCTGGACGCCTAGTCAGTATCAGGACCGCCTGGTCCTTTGTACTTCTTTTTCTCTTTGATGTGTTTATTTTGAGATAGGGTCTCCCTGTGTAGCCCAGGCCGGTCTTGAACTCGGAGCTTGCCCCGTCTCAGGCTCCTGGGAGTTAGGGCTGCAGACCAGATGTGCATCACCATGTCCAGCTTTGGTCTTTTAGCACAAACAGGCCACAGGAGGAACTCTTGGCCGGAATCAACTCAGGCCTGAAATTTCTCACTAAAAACAAATTTTCTTGGGAAAGTTGCTTTTTGTTGTATTTCAAAAGGTCTGTTAGACCAAGTTTCCTGTGCACAGAGCAGGCTCGTTGGCCACGCGTTGTCACGAAGGTTTGTGTCCAGTCACGCCAGTGCAGCCGTGCCAAATGGGAGGGAAGGGCTGACGTCTCCAGGGAGTCCCCAGCAAGGCAGTCGTTTTCTCTTTTCTCAGCACCCGCATAGGCTTCGCCCCCTCCTCCTGGATTGACGATTACTTTGACTGGATCGCACCACAGTCCTCCTGCTGCAGACTCTACAGTGCCACTCAACAGTTTTGCAACGCCTCTGGTACTTTGATCTCCTTTTCTAGAGCTTTCCTTTTTTTTATTTCAGAAAAATGGTAGCATCCCTTAACCATTTCATTTTGCTTTAATTTGTGCCTGTTGTCCGTGTTGGGGCTGCATCTCCTTCCCTTTGTCAGTATCCTTCTCCTCAGCCATGCATGCACATGTCCTGGCTCAGGACTGCAGATCCAGGACACCGGGTCCCCATCAGGCCTCTCATCTTGTGCAGACTACTTTAATTTTCTCCATGAAAGCTGAGAGTCCTGTGTTGTTTGGTGTTCCTCGGAACAGGGCACCTCCTTCAGGAGGGTTTGCTGGATGGTTTGATGAAATGACGTGGGTCTGACGTTTATTGCACTATGAAATCACACGGAGCTGAAGCGTCTGAAGGAGGGAAGGGTGCAGGAAAGCATTGTACCTCGTCTTAAGTGTTTGTTGTTGCTGTTTAAATCTTGAGGCTCATTTTTCTAATGATTGGCTCTCCTCTGTTGCCAGTGATTGACCCAACCTGTGTCCGCTGCAGACCTCTGACTGCAGAGGGCAAACAGAGACCTCAAGGGAAAGAGTTCATGAGATTCCTGCCCATGTTCCTTTCCGATAACCCCAACCCCAAGTGTGGCAAAGGGTAAGTGCTGCAGAGCCCTGTCAGATAAGCATCCACCGTAGCTTTAACTTGAAATAGGAAGCAGAGTCTGGATGAGTCAGCTTGTGGGAAAGGGCCTCTTCTCTACCCTGTCTCAGCCCTGTAAAAGCAAAGACCCAATTTAAAGAAAACTCATCAGTTTTCAGCAGATCTAATCCTCACTGGGCACTCATTTTCCATGCTGTGGTTCCTGTCCTGACCCTGGGTATGTGGATGGAGGCAGATTCCTATGCATATCATGAAGAAGCAGAGGCCAGGGTAGACACACTAGAGAGTAAGAGGCCCATGGCAGTTCCATTGTGCCAGTGGGTTTAAGGAACAGCATCTCTGTTTTGGTAATGTTGCCACAGTTTAAGGTTTAGGTTCTTCTAATCCCTGCTACCCCAGCCATGTGAAAGTATGAGCTGTCTGAATCCTCAGCCAGCCAGACCACCTGTCTTAGTTAGGTTTCTATTGCTGTGAAGAGACACCATGACCACAGCAACTCTTATAAAGGAAAACATTTAATTGGGGCTGACTTACACGTTCAGAGATTCAGTCCATTATCATCTTGGTGGGACATGACAGTGTGCAGGCAGACATGGTGCTGGAGAAGGAGCTGAGAGTTCTACATCTTGATCCACAGACAGCAGAATGAGATTGTGTCCACACTGGGCATGGCTTAAGCGTAGAAGACCTTAAAGCCTGCTCCCTATAGTGACAAACTTCCTCCAACAAAGACACACCTCCTAATAGTGCCACCCTTTACGTGCTTATGGGGGCTAATTACATTCTAACTACCACATTCCACTCCCTGACTCCCATAGGCTTGTAACAATATCATAATGCAAAATTTATTTAGTCCAACTTCAAAAAGTTCCCATAATCTATAATAGTTTCAAATGTATTTAAAAGTCTAAAGTTCCAAGTCTCTTCTGAGATTCATGCAATCTTTTAACTGTAACCCCCTGTAAAATCAAAATGAAAAATCAGATCACATACTTCCAACATATAATGACACAGGATATACATTACCATTCCAAAACATAGGAAATGGAGCATATTGAGGAAATACTAGACCAAAGCAAGACCAAAAACCAGCTGGGCAAACTCCTGTAGTCAGAAGTTTTCCTGTGTTCCGGCTGGCCAGTGGTCAGGACAAATCTCCCCAACTTGTATCCCCCAAGTAAGCACACAGAGGCTTATATTAATTATAACTGCTTGGCCATTAGCTCAGGCTTATTACTGACTAGCTCTTACACTTAAATTAACCCATAATTCATATTTATGTTTAGCCACATGGCTTGGTACCTTTTCTCAGTTCTGCCTTGTCATCTTGCTTCCTCTGTGTCTGGCTGGCAACTCCTGACTCAACCTTCCTCTTCCCAGAATTCTCCTTGTCTGCTTGCCCTGCCTATACTTCCTGCCTGGCTACTGGTCAGTCAGCATTTTATTTATCAACCAATGAGAGCAACACATATTCACAGCATACAGAATGACATACTAGAGTACTTCCCCTTTTCTGTCTAATCAAAAAGAAACTTTAACATAGTAAAATTACATATAACAAAACAGTTATCAAGCAAGAATTACAGTTACAATATCTAGTCTGTTTGTATTTGGCAAAATTAAAGAAAATAGTCTATCATCTATCCTATCTATTTGTGAGTCTAAAGTTTCATATCTAATTTATCTTTTATCATGACTAAGGAAAATTATAACTATCTAGTCTTCAACTACATTCAAGACCAGAAGGATATAACATTACCTAAGTAAGCAGGAAGTGCATTGTAAGCAACTTCCAAAAAACTAGAATGACAGAGACAGCTGGGTTCCTGGACAGTCACCCAAAATTTGTCTGCAATGTTGGGGCATCCATCTTCAGCCTATAGGCCTAGAGTCTCTTAAGTTGCTTTTCTCTGTGTCCTGTAGAATCAACACATATTCACAGCATACAGAACGACATCCCACAGCAAACTCCAAACTCTGCATCTCCATGTGATGTCAAAATGCTCTCCAGATCTCCAACTCCTTTTAGCTTTGTTGACTGCAGCACACTTCTTTCCCTTAGGCTGGTTCCACTCCCTGTTAGCATCTCTCCTCGGCAGTTACCCCACAGCTCTGGCATCTACAGCATCTTGGGGTCTCCAAGGCAATCCATGCTTTACCTTCAAAGCTTCACACAGTGGCCTCTGTAGTCTCCGTTCAGGGACACCCCTGACACACATGTGGCCTCTGTGGCCTTCCTTGGTCATGGAGGAAGATTCCATAACCTATTTCTTCCATCCTTGACTCTAAAGCCAGAACCATGTGGCCAAAGCTGCCACGTTCTGCTGCTTGCTGGGGCTGGGACATGTTCCCCTTGTTCAATTACATCTTTACCAGCTTTCTGTTTTCCATGGTTTCCTTCACTGCCTAAGCTTAGCTGTGCTGGAACTTGATCTGTAGAACAGGCTGGCCTCATACTTAGAGACCCACTTGCCTCTGCCTCCTGAGTGCTGGGATTAAAGATGTGCATCACCACACCAGGCTCTAAAACTTTTTCTTTAGTTCCTTTTCACAAGTTGGAAGCTTACCTGGGTGGGATCTTGCCCTGAGGTCACCACTCCCTTTATTACATTTCTTTATCTGTTTATCTCCTTGGCTTAGCTCCATTCCACTTATGGTGGCCTTTTTCTCTTCAAATTGTACATTTTGTATTTTTCCTTTCTCAGCTTGCTCCTTTTCATTATAAATCCTCTTTGAGTTAACACTAGTAATCACACAACAGAGTCTATACTAGGCTGTTTTGAGATTTCCTCTGCCAATGCAATTAATCCAAACTCTTCACTTTAGGCTCAGGCAGACTTTTCAAGCAAGGGCAAAAGGCAACTACACTCTTCACCAAAATATCACAAGAACAGTCTCTAGGCCACACACTAACATTCCTCTCCTCTGAAACCTCTTGAACCAGGTCCCCACAGTTCAAATCACCCTCAGCACCCCTGTCTTCCATGCTCCTACTAGTATGGCCCATTAAGCATTGCTTAAAATATTCCACTGATTTCCTGTCCCAAAGTCTAAATTCCTCCAAAGAAAAGCATGGTCAGGCCTATCACAGCAACACCCCAGTCCCTGGTACCTACTTCTGTTTTATTTTGGGAGCCTATTGCTATGAAGAGACACCATGACGGTGGCAACTCTTATAAAGGAAAACATTTAATTGGGCCGGCTTACAGTTTCAGAGGTCTAGTCCATTATCATCATGGTAGTACATGGCAGCATGCAGGCAGACATGGTGCTGGAGAAGGAGCTGAGAATTCTACATCTTTGATCTGCAGGCAGCAGGAAGAGAACTCAGACACTGGCTAATATCTTAAGCTTAGGAGACTTCAAAGCCCACCTCCACAGTGACACACTTCCCCCAACAAAGCCACACCTTCTAATTGTGCCACTCCCTGTGAGCTTACAGGGGCCAGTTACATTCAAACTACCACACTGCCCATTACCCACATGAACAGGAACATGTGGGCCCTTGTCTGGTCCAGAAAAAGTAAAGATAAGAGGATTGATTGGGAAGCTTTTGTAGGTGAAAGCTGAATACCACATGTGTGTGGTGTAACTCACATGATGTGCTTGATTTTTATAAGAATCACATTTGAGCAGTCTTCTTACTTGTGTGTGTCATGTCTGTTTTGAGATTTCTGCTAGTTCTGGTGAAGACTACCTCTAAAAAGTAAGAGAAGAGTAGATCTTAGAACTTGCTTTGCCTGTGATTATCGAGGTTATTCTGGAATTTTCTTCCAGAGCATGGGAGTTCTTTGCAATTCAGTTAGAAAGTAATAGCCAAAGTAGTGTAGTGTCATGCCAAACACCTCACTGGCCTTGACCCATTTCGCACTCCCAGCCCGTGGGCATGTGCTGGTGAGCCCACTCACAGAGGGGTTGTTGGGGCTGAGGTGAGGGGACTCTGCCAGCGTGGGTTCGAGTCCAGGTCCTTGCCCTTCCCTGTGAGAGCAGTACCAGGTCAGCTCTGCATGATGTTTGGTTTTGAATGGAACCGGATGGGGAAACAGTAGCGCTGTGCACCACACAAACCGCAACAGGAAGACAGTGAGGCAAAGCCTCCTTCATCCTCTGACCTCCGAGGGAGGTCACCCAGAGTGCTCATGTCCTACCCTTCTACTGCTCCAAACCATAGCCTTTCTGACACCCCTGACTCTACCTCAGGGGACATGCTGCCTACGGTTCAGCTGTTAACATCGTCGGAGATGACACTTATGTTGGGGCCACTTACTTTATGACCTACCACACTGTACTTAAGACCTCCGCTGACTATATTGATGCCATGAAAAAAGCCCAGCTTGTAGCCAGTAACATCACAGAAACCATGAGAGCTAAGGGGAGTAACTACCGCGTGTTCCCGTACAGGTAAAGCACGGAGGGCTATTTGGGGGTGAGGTGGGGGGGTGGGATTGCAGAGCTCTAGCTCTCATTCTGACACCTGCTGTACCCTTAGCCAGGAGTGGTGTATGTGGGGCATTTGAGGTGAGCAAGGCCAAGATCTGGAGCATCTTCGATGCTCTGGGGACCACGGACGCCAGATTTAGTGTGCTGCCCCAGCCCAGAGAGACACATGAAGTAACATAGAGCAGGGACACAAGGGACATGCCAGTCATGCAGTGAGCAGCTGGCAGGGACCTCTGCCTGCTCAGGACCCGGGGTAGTGCTTTGATAGACTTTTCATTTGCTGGGGTTAGAGTTTTTATTTTCTAGTTGCTGCTGCTGCTGCTGCTTTTCCTTGAAAGATAAGGAAGGTGGAGCAAACAAACGATTGCTTTTCTCACACAGTAAGCATGATCTCAGTTGAAGAATGGCAGCCTCTCTGGGGGCAGCCTCTTTGTGTGGCTCTTCGGAGTGCATGTCCTAATTCTCAGGCAGAGCTGGCTAACAGTGTCACAGCCCAGGGTGGTTCCCAGAGCACCCTGGATCATTTGTTTCTTTTCCTAACAACCAATGGAATTCTTTGGGAGTGTTTATGAGGCAGCAGGGAATTAGTCTTATAAGTGAAAACTGTAAGTAAACACACGTTTGCAGTTAGTTTCCGGTCGTTCTTTGGATGTCAGTGGCTATCAAAGATAGTTGGGTGGCTCTAGGTGCATCGTGCCGATCCAGGTGGTTTCCTGGGGTGTCTGTTACCTTTCAGCAGTCTCCTCACTTTGCAGGGTGGTAGGGTAGAGAGGGATGACCCCAGGAGTGCGAGCTCTAACCAGCTACTCTCTTCCCCAGTGTGTTCTACGTCTTCTATGAACAGTACCTGACCATTATTGACGACACCATCTTTAACCTGAGTGTGTCTCTGGGCTCCATATTTCTGGTGACCTTGGTGGTTCTGGGCTGTGAGCTGTGGTCTGCAGTCATCATGTGTATCACCATAGCCATGATCCTGGTCAACATGTTCGGTGTTATGTGGCTGTGGGGCATCAGTCTGAATGCTGTTTCCTTGGTCAACTTGGTGATGGTGAGTCCTGCCCGACTCTGACGTTGTCCCTAGTTCCTGTGACCTTGCATGAATTGTTCCTTGGGTTTCATGTAAGTTCCGAGAGGGCCTGGAATGCTGTGGCTGCCTTTTGCTCTTAGTGCACAGGGAGAGATGGGACGAGGGCTTGAGTCAGGCTGGCACTGAGGGAGCACTGAGAACATCTGGAGTGGAAGCTCACCAACAACGTCCAGGTGGCTGAGGCAGGAGGCTTGCAAGTTCAAGGCTGCAATCTCCTCTCCTTCTCTTTGCAGCTGTAGTGAGTAGGGTTGTTCATGGTGCTGTGACGTGAAAATGTGGTTCCATGATCTAGTGGGGGTGCACTGTCTCCATCATTCAGAAAGGACAACAAAGCCACGTGACCTGGTGTGATGGCACACACTTCTAATCCCAGCATTCAAGAGGCTGAGATAGGACTCCTGCAAGTTCGAGGCCAGTCTCAACCACACAGTGAGTTCCAGACCAGCCTGGACTACAAATTAAGATGCTGTCTCAAAAACGAGAAGCAAAGGCTGGGGTAACTCACTCAGTGTGGTAGAGTGCGTGCACAGGATGATGGATCCTGAGTTCAGTCCCCGGCATTATGGAAGCTCTGGAGTGCACACCTGTGGCCCTGCACCGGGGAGGCAGAGTAGGAGGGTCAGAAGTTCAAAGTCCTCCCTTAGCTACACAGTACATTTGAGGTCAGCCAGAACTAGATGAGCTTCTGTCTGAAAACCAAGAAACCTGTAGCCTACCGACATCAAGCCGCCCGAGTTGTACTTCCCGGGTTACTCTGTAAGGCTTCCCGTAGAGTTGCCAGGTAGTTAGGAAGTACTGGAGATGTAGCCAGCATGGTGGGCACACCTTTAATCCAGCACTCGAGGCAGAGGCAGGTGGATCTGAGTTCAAGACCAGCCTGGTCTACAGAGCAAGTTTCAGGACAGCCAGATTACATGGGGAAACCTTGTCCCGAAAAACAACAACAAAAAGAAAGTATTGAAGACATGAGCTTGAAAAGTATTAATGAAAGGTAAACATTCAGATAAGAACACCTTCAGAGTGGTAACGCAAAGGAAGGAATGTGCTGGCACAGTGGGAAGAACAGGTAACCTTGGAAAGTTTCCAGAAAAGTCCATCAAAGCCAAGATGCTGTAGTTAAGTGGAGCTCTGGGTAGTGCCCAGAGGACTTCAGAGTTTCCTGCTGTAGTTGGGGGAATTTTCAGCTGAAAAAGATCTGTTCTCACAGGAATGCTTTATTTCAGAGCTGTGGCATTTCTGTGGAGTTCTGCAGCCATATAACACGAGCATTCACGATGAGTACCAAAGGCAGCCGAGTGAGCCGAGCGGAAGAGGCGCTGGCCCACATGGGTAGTTCTGTGAGTATGCTAGGCACCAGGAGAGGTGGGGCCTACAACAGGGGTGCCTCTCAGAGACTGGCTGCTTCTCAGAAGACACACAAATTGAGTAGGTAAAGCAGAATTTGGATCCATTCCTTAAATGGCAGCTCCCAGCAATGACAAAATTTCAGTTCACTAAATAGCCGGCTGCATCTTGAACAGACCTGTAGCTCCTCAGAATTGTCCTTGTGTGGTCTCTTATAGGCAGCTGGATGGCTTAAACAGGACACTGAGGAAATCTAGACCTGAGAGAGCCGGACACCAGCACTGTGTGGTGACGGCAAGGATTTCCTAAGTTGCTGCATCCACTGAGCTCTCTTGTAGTTGATGCCTGGAGGTCTTTGATGCAGCTCTTTATCCCTCTGCTCCCCTCTGTCACTTGGCCGCTGCAGAAAATATTAGTAGATTGAAAACTTAAGCATTTGCTTTGTAACGTCAGATACTTAAACTATTTCCCAGGCCAGTAAGATAGCTCAGCAGGTCAAAGGAGCTTGTTCTGCAAGCCTGGTTTGGATCTCCAAAACCCACGTCAAAAAAATGGAGAGTGAGAAATGACTCCACAGAGTTGGCCTCTGAGCTCCCATGCATGCTGCTTGCCCACCCCCACACCGTAATCTTTTTACATTTAGTTTCCGTTAAGAACGTGTCTTGGTTCAGATATTGCGTGATTTGAACCAAAAAGCCAAGGCCACTATAGTTGAAGGTAGAAGACAGTTTTCCAGGAAAGCATATCGCAACTACCTTCTGACCTTTTCTAAGATTTTTTTTTTTCAAGACAGGGTTTCTCTGTGTAGCTTTGCGCCTTTCCTGGGACTCACTTGGTAGCCCAGGCTGGCCTCAAACTAACAGAGATCCACCTGCCTCTGCCTCCCGAGTGCTGGGATTAAAGGCGTGCGCCACCACCGCCTGGCCTTTTCTAAGATTTTTATCCAGGGCTGAGATGGCTCAGCCAGTGAGGTGTTTGCCACACAATCACAAGGACCTGAGTTTGAATCCCAGCACTCACATAGGAGGTGGGTGCAGTGGTACACATCTGTAACACCAGCCCTGATAGATAGAGGGGTGGATCCCTGCAGTTCACTAGCCAGCCAGTCCAGCTGTCTGAGCTCCAGTTTCAGAGAGATTGTCTCAGCACATAAGGTGGGGAGCCACTGAGGAAGACACCCAAAGTCAGCCTCCGGCCCCCCACATCTGCACTCACACATCCTCAGATAACACGTGCAAACCATTTTAGGTAGAGAGCGGTGTCTCAGCAGTTCTGCAGCTGCCCCACACCCTCTGGACACTGATGCTCGGGCAGGTTTGTGTGACAGTGCTAACAGGTCATTTCTCCCTCTTCAGGTATTCAGTGGAATCACACTTACAAAATTTGGAGGGATTGTAGTGTTGGCCTTTGCCAAATCTCAAATTTTCGAGATATTTTACTTCAGGATGTACTTAGCCATGGTCTTACTCGGAGCCACTCACGGATTGATATTTCTTCCTGTCTTACTCAGCTACGTAGGTAAGTGTGCTTACTTTTCCCAGGCATGGGAGAAAAAATACTGCTAAAAGAAAATTGTATTAGCTGAGCATGGTGTCAGAAGCCCAGTCCCAGCGCTCGGGATCCAGAGTTCAAGGTCATCTACAGCGAGTTTGAGACTAGCCTAGGCTGAAAGACCCCCGACTCAAAATTGTTAATCTTGAACTGTGTAGTATTTGAATTTGTACTGATGATAATTCACACTGCATACAAAGTTATAAAGGGAAAGGGGAAAACCTCCCCAGGACTTCATGGTTAGCTAGATTCTTTCACTGGGCATTCACTGCTGTTTGTTTCTGGAGGCGTCAACAGAAGCCTAAGGGAGCTCTCGGAGGGCAGCAGGCTTGGGCTGACGCCTGCTGCCCTGAGAGGAACAAGGAGACAGCCAGCCCTGCCAGCGGTCCAGAGGGCCCTTTGTTTTCCCTGTGGCGGCTGTCCAGAGCCGAAGGCTGTTGCTGCTCTTGGTGATCCCCTCATAGAAATGACCCCTGGTTGAAGAGAACAGGACTCATTTGCCTTACAGCTTTGTTAGAAAGTTGAAGCATTAAAATAGAAAAATTGGAGGCTGGAGAGACGGCTCAGTGGTTAAGAGCACCGGCCACTCTTCCAGAGGACCCAGGTTTGATCCCCAGCACCCACATGACAGCCCACAACTGTCTAGAACGCCAGTCTCAGGGGATTGGATGCCCTCTTCTGGCACACCAAACAATAGAGGAGTCAACAAAACCAGGGCTTTCTTGGGTGCCCAGGAGATTGTTTCTACTTCTTTGTCTCATACAGGACCGTCGGTGAATAAAGCTAAAAGACAAACCACTCAAGAGCGATACAAAGGGACAGAGCGAGAACGGCTCCTCAACTTTTAGCCTTGTAGCAGGCTCTGGTGACTTTGTCCAGGTCAAGGTTACTGCGACAGCTGTCCCACCAAGGCCCTGCTGATGCTGGTTCCCAGGGTTAGGCGGTGTCACGGCTGTAGCGGATGCAGCCCCACCCACTTTACACTCAGGAATGCTCTCGTGACTTGTGAAGCAGTATTATGAAGTTTGAAGGTGGCAGTCGCCAGCCCTGCAGCAGAGAACCCTTGTCTTGGGGCAGAGGAAGGACAATGACTGCCAGCGTGAGACAGTGGCCACTTCTCTACGTGCGCGCTCCTCTTTCAGGAGGAGCCACCACACGTGCTATAGCTTATTTTTAGCAACATTTGAGGATGTTGTAGGTACTTTATTACAACATTTTGTAGTTTAAAGAGCTTTATTAATGCAATAAATTAACTTTGTACATTTTTATATTAAAAAAAAAAACTATCCAGGGACTTCAGAAAGTCGTAGGCCTCATCAGAGCTTGTTCTCCAAAAACCTGCTTGAAAAAGGCGACGTGTTCTTCACAGTGTTCTCCTGTAGGGAGAATGTCCATCAGTCAGCAGCTGCTTACGGGCAGGGGAGAAGGGAATGCAGACAGAGCTCATGGGTTGGGTACTGGGTTTTAACTTATTTTCTTTAATAAAATACCTCCTCCTCCTCCTCCACTGAGATCATTGTCACTCTCTTCTACTGCAGAGCTCAGCCCCTCAGCCCCGGCCAGCTGACCTGTCACTCATATACATACACCTACAAACATACATATAACATGACAAGTGACTCAGCTTGCCCTTCCTGGTGTTCTGTTTGGTCACTACTTTCTTCTTAAGGGTTCCTCGGAGATGCCTGAATTCCATCCTGAATGCCTCAGCCCCAAACACTCCTCTCCTGAGTGTAGTTAGATCCATCAGCATTCTGAATCTACGATCACAGACCCCAGGGTGAGGTGGGCTCCTGCTGTTTGTGTTCACCCTGGGCCTTCCCTCACCTGGTGTGAAGTTAGGGTTCCCTCGCAAACGCTGGTTTCGCTGTTCAAAGAAGCGGAATATGGTATAGAAGAGCATGACGTCATCAGTCTGCTTTGCGGCGTCTAAGAATTTGCGTGCAGAAATGTTGTCATGGCCACCAATGCCCCGGATGAACCTTAGGGCAGCCAACACCTGGTGTTTGGATAGAAGAACTTCTACTATCTCATCGTTTGCCGTTGAGAGTCTCTGGAAGTGAGAAAGATGGAGGTCAGGGCAGCCGCAGGAAGGATGCTGGTAGCACCCAGGCTGTGGCCCAGGTTACCTTCAGCATGTCCAGAGACAGCTGGTGGGCAGGCGGGTAAAAGCTCTCCAGGGACAGCAGCAGGCAGGCCTGGAAGACAGGGTTTCAACGGCTTCAGTTGAAAGGGTACCACTGGAAGGTTTCAGTGACTACAGAAGTGAGATCCCGCGGTACAGACCAAAGGCTTGGAGTCGCTGAGCACGTGGTACTGCAGAAACTGATGGAGCATGTAGAAGAGGTTGTGCTGGACAAGTGTCTTGATGACAAGTTCATGTAAGTAATGCTAGAAACACAAGAAAGGTCAAGGACATAACGAGTCACCCAGCTGTGACGGGCTGAGGACTGCAACAGTCTGAACTCCCAGGCTGTAGTCTAGTTCTAACAGTGTTCTCAACCAAAGTTTCCAGTCCCACTACAAACAACTGCCATGTTAAAGTCACCCAGAATTCTGCACTGGGTCTGGCTCTGGCAAATACCCCTTGGACAGTACCTGCACTGGAATCTGAAACTGGTTCAGAGAACGGATATATTCCATCAGCACAGCTATCACGAACTTGTGCGCCATCTCCTAGGGAGGAAGAGGGTCTTGTCAGTTGCCGGAGCTGCAGGCAGCCCACCGCTTGGCTGGTGTTAAACAGTCCTTGTGGACCGTACACACTGGTGAGCATGTCTTGAGTCTGTTAGAGTCAACCTGACGGCCTCGGCCCTCCCAACGCCACCCCACTAGTTCAAACGCAGTGTGAGTCCTGGGGCTGCTGCACAGTAGCCCACTCAGGAGGCCAGGAGCCATAACACACCTTGTTTTCCACGCATGGCGACAGCACGTGTGTGTACACGTCCGACTGGTCCACCACTGCTTGGGTCCGCACCGGCCTCTTCAGAGGTGGGTTGCTCCGGCTTTGCCCTGCTTCTACGGCCTGAAGTGAGACAGACAACTGGTGACCTTAATCATCTTCCACAGAAACAGCACCCATCACAGTTAACCGAGACTGAATTCCTAGGCAAAAATTAAATGTGAGCAAGACGCTTGACAAGCCAGACAAAACTGGTCCTCTGGCAAACACTCCACGGTTCGTGCAAGATCAGAATTAAATAACCCAAGTCACAGTCACGTTTCCTAACCTCTGAAGACGTGAGGCCGACCTGATTTTCTTCTTTACTCTTGGCCGGCTGCACCCTCGTTTATGGAGCTCTACCAGACAGTAAAGGATGGCTCGTGCACTGGGTCTGTGCTGGAGTTTCAAGTGGATCCAGGGCCTCACTCATCTCTACACTTCTACCACCGGCGGCTAGGTCAGTCACAGCCCAGTGTAATGGGGACTCAGTGGTGAGCCAGAGCTCCCCAAAGACTGAGCAGAGCTGCTCCAGCTGTGTGTGTCCCTAGAGAGCAGGCTCAACTCCAGTACAGATGGTTTGTTCTTCACACGTCATGACCACAGTGTGGGAGAGCCCAGGGCCTGCCACTGGACTCAAACCCACTGACTCCCATCCCAGATACTACCAGTGGGACCCACAGGAAGAAGGACACAACCTGACAGGGCTGACACAGGACAGGGACAGAGATGATCGAGGCAGCCTATCAGACCCACTATCCTCCAATAACCAAGGCAGTGTCCACTGTTGGTAATCACGTCCTTGAAATAATCTCTCCTACTGTCCCAAACCTCTTGCTTCAGAAACCAGAAGTACTAGGTGTTGTACCTAGTAATACGCCACACTAATTCTCCCCGCCTTTCACTGAACATGTGATGTCTATTAACTGGAATGCACAGTGCCAGTACTTAACCAATGCCTCAAGGATACTGATGGTGGCAGGATCCTAGGACATCCTTTTCTGCTAACCTAAGATAAACCTTTCTGTGGCCCTGCCAGTGAATGACAGAATGCAGAGTGGCTGTCGAGATGTGGCTGCTCAAGATGCTGAGGACAGACAACCAACTGTTGAACACTCAGCCCTTTCTGAGGCTCAGAGAACATCACAGAAGAGGCAAGAGAATGTAAAAGCCAGAAGATGGGGAAAGGGCTGCAAAATGCTATATACAAAGCTTGACACAGCTATCCCAAACATGACCTCACAATAGCTGTGTCAGCCGTCAATCATGGGTCTGGGGAGGGCTCACAGGACCCTAACCCTCCCCGCTGAACTACTGGCACTGGTGGAATCTGGAGGAGAGGCAGTCGTGGCCTTGAGGTGTGCACCCAGCGGTGATCCAGGCCCCATGCACACTTTCAAACCTGTGTTCACAGTCCTCGTTAAAATCTGGGTCACAAAGCTATCCAAATGGGGAAGACACTTGCAGAGAGGAGGGAGGTAACAGAGGGTAGGGGTGAGAGGAAACAATATGCTGCATACATATATGAAATTGTCAACAGATTCATCAATAAAAAAATTATTTTGGCCAGGTATGATGGTACATGCCTTTAATCCCAGCACTTGGGAGACAGGTGGATCTCTGACTTTAAGGCCAACATGGTCTACATAGTAAGTTCCAGACCCTGTCTAAAAAAATTAAAAAAGGATTTCTTATCTGAAATAAAAAGAATCTTTTAAAATTTACTTTTTGAGTTCATACAAATACATGTTGCATGTTGGACACAGCTCGCCCACACTGCCCTCTAGATAACCTTATATTGTAAGGGAAGGAGGCACAGCCCGTAGTGGAAATCACACCTCTAATTGCCAAGTGCAGGCTCTGGTCAAAGCCAAAGCTGATTTTCTTTCTACAAAATAGAAGCAGACTGAGAACACATCCACACATAAGCTCAAACAGATTTTAAAAAGCAGAAACAGTGAAGGTACCGAGTTGAAGCCTCAAGCCAGCAGCATGTGGGGACTCTGGGTACACCACTGTCACCTTGCCCTGCATGCATCGAACCTGACATTACACTGTGTAACTACATCGTACAGCGGCAGCGGGACTCCCCCCAGTCTGACTTACCATTGTGTAGCTCTGCTCAGCATCCAAGTACTTTTTATACTCGTGGTTGAGTTTATCAAAAACGGTGGCTATCACCGGCAGCGTGGCTCTGTCTGACTCGGCCAGCACTGCAAAGGACAGTACACGGTCAGACCCACTGTGATCAGAATCTCAGGTGATGGTGACAAGTGATCTCAAAATGCAAGAAATGTTTCAGAGAACCGCCACCTGGCAGTCAGTCAGGACCCCTTTTAGTGACCAGAGGAAACAAGACAGGTGTCACTGGACGACACTGGCCGTGTCGTCAGCCTTCACCTGGAGCCACCTGCCTGCTGGCTGCTTCCTGCCAAAGTCTACAAGGCACTAGTATTTCCCAGTATTTCCGGTGGGCTAGGTAATCATCCTTCAGGCATGTAGCCCTGAGAGCAAAAGATGAGAGGTGGGGCGGGGCCCTGGTGAGATGCCCAGCAGGCAGTAAGCGCCCACCACCAGGCCTGACTGCCTGAGTTCAATCTCAGGACCCCCGTGCCAGAAGGGAGAGCACATTTTCCTAAGTTGCCCTCTGACATCCAGCGGGGTACCATGGCATGTGCCCATACACATACCCACACTGGTATAATTTTTTTTAAAGATGGTGGGAAGCCGGGCCGTGGTGGCACACGCCTCCAATCCCAGCATTCAGGAGGCAGGGGCAAGGGGATCTTCCGAGTTCCAGGCCAGCCTGGTCTACAAAGTGAGATCCGGGCAGCCAGGGCTACACAGAGAAAGCTTGTCTTGAAAAGCCAAAACAAAGAAAGATGGTGGTAGGGAGCCACAAACCTGTGGGAAAGAGGAGTCCACTTACTCTGTGAACAGACAGACAGGATGACCATCTTGCACTCCTTCCTCTGGAGAAGAAAGTCCATCAACCTCCCTTTATCTGGCAAGAGATTCACTATGGGCTGAAGTTTCACCTGGAGGTTCCAGAGGTAACCTGGGTGTTAAGAAGCAGCAAGTTCAGCAATACAGTGCAAGCCAGAGCCAAAGCCAACAAAGAATGCCCCTAGAGCTCTTCCTAACCAACATGGCGCCAGGACATTCAGGAAGGTGGCTGACTGTGGAAGAACAGAGTCACGCTAGCTCAGCAAAGGGGCTGATCTTCATGAATGACAACTGCATTCAGAGTCACACCAACGTTTGTCTCCATGGAGACAAGGACAAGCTCAACTCCCTCCACTGTGCCTTGCCCCAGCCATCAACTGCGCACGGAGTACTTTACTTTCTCCTGTACTGGCTCAGGTGCACAGCAGGTAACTCCACAAACTCAGTAGACTCCTTCCACTCATCAGCCTCTGCATGTACTAACAGGCAAGCTGGGGCCACATTCCTCAGCGTTCCATGGGAGAAAGGAATGTCACATCAAAAATAATTGGAGGGACCAATTTCTCAGCTTCCAAGATGGAGCTGTTGTCAATGTAAGGAGAAGTGAATTCATTACATGCAGTG